CTATCGACCAACATTTGAAAGATCTACCGCTCCACCTACATGTGTACTTCTCTTTACTACAATATATGTTGTCATATGAATAACATATATATATATATGCGCATAAGTTCCCCAAAAATCCTGTGGTGTTATGATGATATTAACGATCTCCAGAGGGGCTGACCGGCTGCTTCTGGAAAGTCTGTGTTTGTCTGGCCATTGTAAAATCATGCCAGCGTCGTGAACAGCCCACACTTGAACGCTACTCATCTTTGCCGCTTCCTGCGACAGCGTTAGCTTTCATGTCGATACAGATTAACACGCTGCTGGTAATGTCCGGCGCCGCGAACGTTTCATAAGTAACTTTCACTAATATACTCCCAGCATTACCTAGCACAATTATCAAATTTAGTAAGCGAACCGGCACACTATTACTGGATGTAGCGGAAACAGGTCGGTCTCTTTGTGTTAGGGAGCGATGTAACTTCTACCTCTTGTGCTATAGAAAGAGCATCGGGGTAATGAGCTAGGTAGTTGTGGTAAGTAACGTCGAACAGACTGCCCCTGCCTGGTGGTAAGTCTGTCGAGGGTATCGCCTAATGGGTACACAACTTAAGTTTAGGACTCGCATTAACAAGGTATTCTTCTTTCCTTATGACTGCAAAAGGCCGTAGAATCGATCTGTGTGGACAGTTTGGACTAATATATATATATATATATATGTATATATCTTTTATAAACGGGTCTTGAGACCCTGCACTAACATTTGTTGTCATTTTGCAAAGCTTGTTTAAGGGCTGCCGCTGTACTACTAATCACGCACCGTAATACGCCAGTAGGTGATAAGTAACAGGGCGGCAAGAGCACCAGCGGACCAGACATACGCAGTTCATACAGATACTCAGGCTCAGTTAAAAGAAAAAGGGACGCCGCTTTTATAATTTCTCGCTGTTTATCATGTTACAAGGCGGTCATGTGAAATTGAAGACACGCACCACCTCGGGTAAATTCGTAATGTATTTCATCCGAAGACAAAGGTACACAGTTTTTTGCCTTTGCCGACAGCAGAGTTCAGTTATTACTAGTCGCCCCAACCGGGGCCTTGCGCTCACCTTCAAATACTTTTAATTCGAGTTAGTTTTAATAACAGTGCACCACTTTATTCATTAGGTACCTTTAAGGTGGAAACGTATCGCCAGAATCACAATCCAGTCCCTAGCGAACAAACGACAGGCAGCCATCATGAAAACTTAAACGCAAATCTGCCATTTTTTGTTACTGTCTACGTATTCCATAACCTAAACGCATTCATTACTATGTCCTTACACTAGCCAGTCATTACCAGATTTATTCAAGTGCACATAATACACTTAATAGACAAACAGGACATCTCAAAGTTGTTCTGCGAACGATGTTTCTTTATAGCTGATTAACTGGCGGTAACCACCAAAGCTAGCGCAGTACGATCGCTCCAATCAACTATCATTACAATTACAATATCTGTCTCTACGTCATAGTATAGGCCTTCAAGGCCTATGGCTCCTATTTTAATAAGCTCGCTTGCTTCTCTGCAGGTTTTTTCACGCTTTCAGCGTTGACCAGCGGTTGTAGGAGATTTTAGAACCTGCCGTGGAAAGTCCGGATAAAACCTATTCAATTTCGATCGACGGCAAGATCTTGGCCGCCTTGTTACCTAAAAAGTAACTCTACTTTTTTCGAAAGCTCGATTTTCTTTTATAGGGGACTTTTCACTCATCATCTAACGTTTGGCACACCCACGCAAATTCATAGGAACAGCATACCTCGCATATGAAAACGCTACTTCGAGCCGACGTCACGACTTCTGACGAAGCAGATTTTGCGCTACTCCATAATTTTGTCCTTAACTTTGTCACTACGTCCCTGTCTTTCGTCGTTCCTGCTTAGTGAGAATGGGAGAGTCCTTGATCAATACTTGGCCTTGTTTCCGACAAGGCTCATATCCTGACCTGATCTATCACCTAATTATACCCTTTGAGAGAACCTTTTGCCTTTAATAACGGCTAATCCTGTGTCACAGTGAAAGATTAGCAATCGTTTAAAGATTCCGAGGGAATCCGTTGGGTTGAGTGTGTAGAGTAGGTGGAGCAGGTCAGCCAAATCATCTACGAAAAAGGAGTCGACGTGTGTGAATTCACACTTAGGCGTTATGGTAAGTTCGCTTCCAGTTATTCCAAAACATATATATATATATATATTAATTTGAATATAACTAATATATTTTAAGTTACATCGTAATTGCATATATAATAACAGATTAAGGGCACAAAAGACGGTTGATGGAAAGCGCGCGTAAAGCTTAGGCCTTTTTATCGCTGCTTTTGCCTTTTTGCGTTTATCTTATCGTCGCATCACTTGAACATGCCCACTTACATGAGGTGTACTTTAAGTGGCTCTTCCCTTTCTCCGCGCGTACACTATATCTGCCCTTTTTTTCTGTGTAAGGGATTAGCAGGCTCTGGATAGTAGGAAGTTAATAACTATTCATTTGTGGGTGTTCGTATTCGTGCGTTTAAACAACATTTTTTTTCTCTATAGGTACAAATAGGCCGGACAGCATTTTTCCTAGTGTTCCAACGATGTTGCTGGCGACAAATTTAACAAAGTAGTCAACGAATATGGGCGATGTGTTTGCACTGCAAAAAGTAACGACTCACCTACTAGATGCACCGCGAGATTTTTATTCCTGTATAAGCTTGAGACACTTACGATGTTTTACATGCGGAAAAGCGGATGCCGAAAGCAAGGTGAGACCAGATGGGGTTTCCAGGAACATACGAAATCCTTGCTGTTATTAACTATGCTTTTTATTGTAATGATATTGTCTCGCGCATCTGTTGCGCATTTGAACACGGCAAGACATAGCAAGTTTCACATCTAAACATGTTGAATCATTGCAGATAAGAATAATCGGTTACATAAAATCAACTTGCGCAAGTCCCGTGCGTTATTACTAATTATGGCTTATAGAGGGGCACTGTCGTAAGTAAAGTGGCTCTTTTTTCTAAACGTTCTTTTCGGCAGGTAAACAACAGAATACTATAATACTCAAGCCACTCCAGCTGTAGTCCACCTGCTCCAAAAGCAGAATACGTTCACTGCACAGTTGCTACGTGGAGAGGTACGCTATTATGTGTAAAGTTTGTCACTGTGCAGTGATCATCATTTTAAAAGCATTCTTCTGGATCTTATAACTTCCGCCTAGTGAGGAATATCTTATGAGCGCAGTTGTTATGATGGGCCTAGTAGGACTAATTGCATAGCATTCGTTCCATTTGGAAGTCGGTTTTATAAAAGGATCGATTCGCATAGGATCGTTGCACCAGTATTAGTGGTACTGTCACGTAACCATCGTTTCGAGGATTCCTTTCGATTCCGTTCATCCTCGAACAAAAGCCGTCTATCCTTGTTTTGGCGACATTTTTGTCCACACGGGATATGCATTGTGCCAAGCTCACATCTTTCGACGTTACATCAATGAGATAAGATAGTAAATTTCTAATGATTTATTATCATTTGAATATTATCGAGTTATATTTCGGATTTATAGCATGATAAAAAAAAAAATTAGCAAACCTCAAGGACTGCGATATCCAGCTGCTCTGGCTTTTTTACCAGAGATTGAACAAAAGAACATAGCACTCTGGAACTACACATAAAAGTCGTAAATAGATAGATCTAGCGTTTGTGAGTGCTTCAAATAAGGGTGTTTTCCCGGGATTTCTGTGAGGTTTTCCGCTGGGCAAAAAGGAGGCAGGAGATAATCGGAGAAGCGCTGGTGGCAGGCTATGGCAAGGTCGGTAAATTCAGCTGCTGAGTAAAGAACTATTGGGTAAACGCAAGACTCAATTTTTTTTTCCTATGTACAACTGATCACACGTAATAGATGCGTGCTTTCGTTCTTCAGTTTTTACATTCGTTTGCTGACACTTACAATGAAAGGAAGCAGGAGTAACTGCCATATCGCAAGGAAGATAAGCGCCATTTGCACTCTTATCAGATTGTTCGCAGTTTTTGTTACTTCCTCTTTGGGAAACATAGACCGTATACATCCACTGAGGCAAGAAACAGAAGAGCGGGCAGAAGGTAGATCGCTGAAAAGCTGTCTCATATATAGATACACTTATATGAACAGTATACACGTGGACACGCATACTCAGTCTCGGCTATGCAGACTGTGAAATCGACAAGTAGCTAGAAATTAAACAAATAGCTTTAAAGAATTATTAAAAAAAAGTTTATCTCAACTATTTAATCTCATATTTTTCTCAACGCGTATGCACGAGAGGCATTTTAAACAAACGCGATACACTGAGCGCATTTTTGAGTATTATAGTTTCACCATTGTCTTCCATCGTAACTATACCTAAAATAGGATAACTTTCTGAAATCTGTTGCCCTTTGACTTTTGACATAACAAGCCTTTTCACTAGCGTTACTGATCCCAAGGCAGATATTTTTGCCCGGAACTTTCGCTCTTGCAATTTAATGAAAAAATCAGAGCAAAGGTAAACTTGGTGAGATCTCCTGTATGGGTCATGTATGCTCACGACAAGTATATGATATATATCTGCTTGTTGTTGAAAATAAATTTCTCACATACACTATACAGAAACGAAGATTGTTCGATAGTTTTACGAAGAAAAAAAATGGGTTAATTTAATCTAATCTTATACAGACATGCAACATCTTTGAATCAATACTGGAAGACCTAGATAATAGTATTCAGTATTGATATGCCGTTGAACTTTCAGTATGTGAACTTGACATAGTACGTAAGATATACGCGACAGGTAAACCATTTCTTAGAAACCTTGAAGAACCATTTCTTAGAAGTACTTTTCTTCAAGATCGTGAACTCTAAACACACTTTAGTGGCCTCCATGACCTATCTTTATTTGATAAATTAATCTGTCTTATTACATTATCGCCCATATCTAACTACTGCTAAGATAGCTACCTAAATTAACGTAGATACTAACCTGATTTCCTCTTTGACCTGTGTCTTCATTTGCTCGAGAGTGAGTTGCAGTTCCCCACGTTCATTCAACGTTAGCGGGTCGATACCGTATTTGTGCGCTAGTTCCTGACAAGTTACCCCTATAACAGCTGAACCCCCACTGCCTCCGCCACCGCCAGGCAGTCCGCCTCCCGTAGAAGACATGCTGTTCCAGTCTTGTATTAGGCTCCCTGTTTCCTTGCCTTTCCACTTTACTTGTGACCAGTAGGTCCAAAACTGTCCTTCTTTCTTGCGTTCTTTTTTCTCGTTATCAGCCCGGCTGTTCTACTAATCGGTGTTTATTTGACAAGCAATCAGACAAGCGCACCAATAACTGAAGACGACGCGGATAATCTAATGGTCTCTTTATCAATCAGGTGCCACTTCGAAAAAACCTAGCCAGGTAATGCCTACACAGGGTGTAGAGAAGAGTACGAAATGTTGTACCCGTATACTTCACTTCTTCTTTAACCTGAATTTCTTCCTCCTAATTTTAAAACTTTTACCTGTACTAGCCAAGCTTTGTTTCTAGCAGAGAACATATATATCGTGTAAAGTAGATTCCGTCGGCTACAGCACGACTGGCATGAATCTGGAGATTGAGCGAAGGGACGGAAGGGAAAAAGAGCGATCGTGTACTAGGAGATTAGGTGGGGCAAATCATAACTTAAGGGCTCAAGTCACCCGATTGTTGGTACACTCAAATAAAAGGCGAAGTAGTGATTACCGAGGCTTTTGTCGCAGGTTAGTAATGAGCTTTACAACTAGGAATAGTGGCCAACAGCCGTTGTCGTCAATCTTTTATTGGGGCTCCTCTGAGGGCGCAAAGGGGCGCCAAGCTCCCCGTGCCTGAACGGCTCAGCGCATTAGACAGTCGCAAATCATACTACCAGTGGTTGCTGCAAAAGCGGCGGAACGGTGACATCAACCCTGAGAGAAGCGGGAAAGAGCTGCAACGACGGGATGAAATAGGACGCCAGGAAAGGTACCGCGGCAGATTGGCGTAATGGAGTCCGCTGTTTGGTTCCCTGTAATGTACACGTAATGAAATTAATAAAACAATTCATTATTATTATTATTATTCGATTTTTACGTGTAAGCTAGCGATAGTTGCATACTCCATTCCTACATGTCTCGATAATTTAAAAGGGATCTTACCAAATATAGCCACACCGATACTGTAGATCTCATTCAGATGCAACGAAGCTAGGAGGCAACGAAAACACTGCCTGATACAACCACATCACGGAAAAATTCCACCCATTCAAAAGCAACTCTAATCCTCCCCGGCTGACCCGTGCCTAGTCCCCGTGCGTAACGTGTTTACCTGCTAAACGTAAGGGATACGTAGTGGTCTGGGTAGGAACCCGGGCGTAGTTGAGATCCAGCCGTATGATTGAATCCTTAACGGCAGTTAGGAACGTAAAACAGGACATTTTCACTTCACTCAGGACATTTAATTAGGTTCCAAATGCAACCAACGTATCAACTTCGCCGATACATAGATTCTTTTCTAGCTCAAAGAAGCAAAACTCAACGATTACCGACCATCCGATTTTTGCGTTACCTGCCTTCACCTTCAGGCGGTTATAAGCATCAGGACAATTTTATATTGACAAAGGTATAGGACTAATCGCACCTATCTCCAAAGGTTACGCGAAAGGATCGGCCTATAACCCTATGCTAGAATGAATGGCTGATTTTTATAGGTATAGTATTACACCATTGATATACCATTGCTACTATGGTTAAGTGGCATTGTTAGTTTTCTAGACTGTTAACTCTTATTTTTTGTTATTTGTCTCCTGATCCATTTTTGATGGGCTTTTTCCTTTAAACGATTTTCTCATCACGATCGTACATTTACTACGCCGCTATTATAGTCGTGAATCGAATCAGAAGAGTACGACAGAATGAAACAATGAATCATTCATATATACATATATATTTCTTTGCTCAATAGTACGTATCACGAAACTTATGCCATTATTAGAATGTGACAGCGCCTAGAAAACGCTGTTGTATTCGATAGCTGAAGCGTTTCTGGTCAGATATCTGAAGTAAAATTCACATTGTGGTCCGAAACGGAGTTTGGTCTATGCAGTTTAGCCTATGTGGTCCTGTTTTCGAAAAAAAAAAAAAAAACAAATTCTGTATAGCAAAAAGCCTTCGTCCAGTTGACTTTTGGGAAAATTTTGAATATCTGTCGTTTTGCTTTTATATTGGTTTCGATTCCCAAGGACAGAGCATGTGAAACACGTTGACGACTAAAAGGTTCACACAAGCTCCGCTCCAAATAGTTTTCCAGCACTTAACTGGCTCAACGGTTCTTTGATCATCCTATAGGTAGCAAACGGCCTCAATCCAAAAGTGTGACAAGACATCTGTTTACCTCATCATATTAAGACTTTGTATGGGTGAATCGTACGCAAGGGATGCAAATTCTAAAAGGGTGAGGGCAATTTTCATCAAAAGATATTTTAGAAAAAAGGAGGCAATTTCTTAGAAAGGGGTCTATTCTCGAGGACTAGTATTATTTAATTCGAATTTAAATTACGTTCTAATAAGGCGTCGATTTGTTTTGCTGCTGAAGGTGGTATCGAGCATTGCTCTATCTAAGTATGTTTAAGACAATCCCGTTCTTTGTGCCGGTCCCCATCTCACGCGTTACTTCGCGGCGTATAGGCATTTTTTCCGTGACGCGAGTCTTCCGGAGCTTCGGCATAGTTCTGTTGGATAATTCCGGCATAATTCTGATCCGTTTGGATCGGACTCCGACAGAAATTTAGTAATAGATACTGTATGTTTGTAACGTTCCGTTTCGCTGTGTATTAGAGAATGTTTCTCGGGACCATTGTTGTCGTCCTAGTTCATCTCAGTTGAGACTGATCTTGAATACCTTAGGTAAATGCATCTCCACTGGAACTTTGAAACTGGACAAAATCACAAATGCGTGAAAAGCTGTAGAGAGAGATCAATAAACCCATTAAACTCATGTGCGGTCGTCCATCGCAGAGTTTAATGGACCGACTAGATTTTTACACATTTCATGTGCTTAATGATCGATACGTTTAGAGCGACGTCGACGTTTAAATTACAACGACGTAAAGCGTATGGCCTGATAGAAACAGCATATTTTCTTATGTATGCAAATAATGATTAATGGTGGATGACCACAATATAAGTTTCGCACACAGCATGGAAACACACCGAATACTATCTGTTGGAAATAAAAATATAGGGTTATGATAAAGAGCGTCGTCAGCAGCCTTGGTGAAGCTTACGTTTGCCATTATCGCCGGACCATGACCAACTAATCAATAACGTTTTAGAGCAGTATATTTGCTTGCAATAGTACTAGAGGTAGAAATTAGGACACTTTGAACTATAACGTGATCTGTAACAAGTCCACAGTTCATATTAGGACTGCATCATCAATAAACGGCTAAAAAGTGTACTTTTAGGATCTGTTATGTTTGGGTCAAATAAGTTACTACTATTCAGCACACGCAACGTTTCAGAAGAGACGTAAGCCTTCGATAAACTTCTCTCAGGACATCGCTAAGGACAAATCTTCTCACGGTCTATTCTTTCGTGTACATGTTGAATCCACTAATAACTCATTCTCGAGCAAACAACAAAGCTCTTCAGCACATTGATTTCTGATGGTCAGAACCTGGCGTCTCTTGTTTAAATCGTACCTTCGGGATGTACCAAACGGCACCTACATATTATGAAGTAAAATCACGAGCCGGATTTCTCTGTGAAGTCGATAATACATTCAGTTCTATATTGTGCGTATACTAGAGATGCACGAGGCGAAGTCCTTTCAGTTTACTATTGTTAGCTATGACGACAGGCCAAAACAGTGTTTTTTTTTATCGTTCGTTAAAGAACATGCAATGCCCCCGCCACTTCGCCAACATATCGTTGACTGCTGGAGGCCAAAACAGGTCCGGCTTAACAGAAACGCAGAAAACAATGTGCGCCATATGCCGAAACTTCGCTATGTGTCACAACTGAGCATAGCAAATCGAATAATGAATAAGATAAAAAGTTCCAGTCACGCTAAATCTCCTGCATATCCTGTCAGTAATGCGGCCGTCGACGATACTGAGGTCAGCTGGTAGATAGATCTGTTTAGAGCAATCATCGTTTAAAACTATCTTCCGCATGCGCTCCGAACAGACTATACCTCATAGTAATAATAAACAATTTTATTGCTTATTATTATTATTATTTTATAATTGAAAAATCTATGTACACATCTGAAAAAATATATTTTAACTACATTTTCTTAATAGTATTACGCGTATGTTTTTCCCATCCGTTTTTGAAAATTACGATGCATGTCCCTTTTTGCTAAATATATCGTCGTTTATATATGTCGTTTGATAGCGCTTTACTAATTGTACTAAACAAGACGCTCTGGTGCGATTTCTATATGTCTATAACACTACGTTATAAACATACTACGGGTATGCTTTTGATATCAGTCAATAAAACTATCTGATTGGCCACAATAGGGGTCGCTGTAAGTATTGCATTGTAGACACATGCAGGCTTTAGGACAAAATAGTATGTTATGGTATAGTATGCCAATGTTCCTGTTAAGAGCGTGTTGCATAGCTCATCCGAAATTGTACGACTATTTACATATTTCCTACTTGTTGAACCGTTGTAAAATGAGGACATCTTAACTGTTCTTCGTTATGTCACCTAAAAATGTTTCAAATTGTCCAGTGACTTTCGGTCTTTTACGCTTTGTTTTGTACAGAAGTTGAAACAAATCTTCAAAGTGTTTGTGCTGGACATACGTACGTACATACATACATACATACATACATACATACGATATAAATTTATTCATCATAGGCGATCGTAGTCACACACACACGCGCGATATAATACGACCTAAGCGTCTCGAACTTTCTGTTTATTGCAACTCTTAACATTGTTCTGGTTGGAGCCCCTTCGATGCAATGCTAACTGCGTAAAACATCTGCGTCGCGACTGTGTTTTTCTTCAACCCAGCTTGACAATTCGACAGACGTTTTCGACCTGTTTGAATCTATTCAAATGCTGAATCACCAGCTATAATAATGCAAGCACAATGCTGCCTCACTTCGTTGTCGATTCCTCGTAGCAAACCTGGTCTTGACCGTTATCCCTGTCCTCTGCTGACACCATTTACGATGAGTGTTAAGTAGCAGCAACGACGCGTTAATCGAATCCATTATTCTCTGTGCCTAGGTAAACCCTGAGACCTCAAATAGAATGAAGGAAGGCGCCTTCCTTAACAAATACGACAAGTGGCAGTGGCCGCGCCACCTTAACGTAAACAATGGTAAGGAACGGCTCAATCAAGCGAGCGAGCGAGCGTACACGTAATCGCTCTGAGGTAAATATAGTAAAGCAACTGCTTTGCGAGTGACGAATCGCCCATGAGCCTGTATACAACGCTACAGTTTGACAGCCCGGTGATATCTGAGGCTACCGGCACCGGTTCTGATCGGCTCTTTACACCTGACCTCAAATATTTGACTAGAAAACAGGATTTTAAGATCGAACTATTTTCTGAATGATGACAGTAACGGCAGCAGCGATAGCGACGGAAGATATGGTATTTCAAAGTCTGTCAAAGCACTTTTACTTCGGTAAGTTAAATAGCCACATTAATAGATCGTTTCGAAGGTGTATCGAGTACTTACTTGCATGACAATTTACTACAGAAGTCTTATTTAAAATTCGAAACGACGGGGTTCGTACCAATTATCCCAAGCTTACAGAAAAAGCAAATTAGCCCGTATTTGCTAAAGCTTTCGATCTTGTGCCTCGGCATCGTTAGTTATTATTATTTGAACACCATATAGCGTATCTGGTACTCCGGTGTGTACAAATACATATAACACGCGAATATCTTGCTGACGAAGGCTTGGCCGATTCGGAACGTAGAGTCGATGACGTCCTCTAATGCTACAATGCCCATGTCGCAAAGCCAGTAGCCGGTAGGAGAAACCGCAAAGGCGAAAACTGCCCGAAGCATCGATGTGGCCACAAACGACTGAGGGCTAGAGTAAAAAAGGCAGGTAAATATATATATAAAAAAAAACAACGCCTAACAATGCTTCGCGAAGAAATGTCGAAGTGTATGCAAGAGGCCAAAGCACCAGCTTTGCCCGACAGTCGTTTAAAACCTTTGACATCAGAAAAAACTTGCATATGTAATATACTCATAGGTGATATGATCTCTTAACATAATAAACGAATTAAGAACAACTGTGTCAAATGTTCCTCGTCTGGTCCTATTTTCGTCCGCCCCTATGCCTATGCAGAAATTGCATTTGTTTTAGAAATATTTTTGCTGCTGGTATTTTTTTGTGCCTTTATTAGGACCATATTCTAGAATTTTCGATACGTCAGGAAACGTTAATCAATCAAATCAAGCAATGGCTACAAAGTGGAGATAAATGGTAAGCTTGATCATCGTCAGTAGTCATATTGGACATTGAAATTATCAGCATGTAGCTGTTATTATGAGTGCAAAATACGGAGCACTTTTCCTAGTCGGCCATTGCAGTTTTCAATTAGATATCTATCATTTCGGCAGGCGGCACCTGGAAAATAATTTTACAGGAATAACTAAATACAAAGTATGCGAGTGTAGATAACAAACAATAGATAGGCGTAGACTCTTTGATACAGGACCAATGGACGTGCCTAGATTAAATCAGAATGGCCTGATTCTGACAGCCAACGAACACGTACGTGACAGGCAGGTGTTCATTCTCAAAGTTGATGTATTAAATGAAGCCTTACAAATCGTTACCTAAAAAGGGCCCAGCCACGACCTTACGTAATTTAAGGTGATTTTTCTATGCGTAAGACGACTACTTTTCCTTTTAAATTTCGTATATAAAGTTACAATTCACAACAACTACGGCAGGATCCCACTTCAATGGCGCTTTTTTTCGTCATGTAGCACGGTTTATAATACGATGTTTCTCGTGTCTTACGTTCTACTAAAGCTTCTGGACAACACTACAGACGGCTCACTCTTGCCAGCAAGTATGTCTATGCCCTGGTTCGACTCTGGACTGCCGTGCGCCCCCAAACTTGACAACTAAACACGTTACCCAATGCGCTATTACTGGAACACGGTACTAACATTAAGAATCCGAAAGCCAGGGTCCAGCAAACGCAGAGCGTTCTTAATCAATATTAGAAACTTTTATACCATCGCATTGAAACGTTACACTTATTACTGCGAATTCCTTCTAGTGGGTCATACAGCCATCACACAACTCTCTCCGATTCCTCAAAAGAGTGCTAAGTCACTCATGCAATGGCTAGTAATAATCAAATGTTTGTGATGAAAACGAAATTAATGAACGATGGTACATACTATATACAAGATTACGTAGTTTACATTTAATTAATTTGATCTGTTTTTTGCAAACTATGTCTTAACGATCGCTGATTGACAAACAATACTTCCATTTAATGCTGAGATCCTCAATAGAGCATGTGAACAGTATGCGTGTTTAAAACACAGGCTCCTACTGATGAAACCTAATGAAAATACACTTGCTCATGGTAATAAGTCATCGACATTTATTTAGCAGTTTCCCGCTGAAATTCCACTGAAACAATAATCATCTTTTCTAAAAACGAGAAACAAGTATCGACCACTTTGAAGACTCTATCCAAATTATCTTTTGTGGCTAGTCCGTGTAGTCGTACATTGCATACGTTCGTTTTTTTCATCTACAACATAGTTCTCTTACGTTTGATTGCATGAACGTTCCCCACAGGATGTGCTGGCCTATTACACATTAATACATGCTTAGACATAGGTAGAACGTATCAGTCTAACGCGACGTATTTGCGACAGGACTTGAGCCAGTTGGCCGGCGCTCATATTGTAAGGCTAGGCTGGGTCATAGACATAAATTCTGATGTTTTGGAACACACTGATCGTATGCTTCCGAGCTTTATAAAGTATCTTTTGAAGCTGCAATTAGAACATTGCACTACTACAACTATAACGGTTGGCTAAAATGCTTCAGTGTTTTAGGTAGCTGACTCGGAATGGCCAGCTTTGCAAAGAGCAAAAGCTCATGTAACATTTATTTATAAACGGCTCATTTGGTACGTGCGATTTAAAAACGTAGGCAACCTTAACCGACAATTGGCGAGGGTGACCAACATGTATGCCTTCTCTCGCAAATATTATTATATAGGTAAAACTGGTTGCTAAGTTTCGAAGACACAGGGTAAGAACTTGCCACGAGCTCAAGGGGGATTACTAGATTGCATTCTCAGCACTTACAAGCCCTCTTCCCGCCGTAATAGAGGCACTTGACAATAAGAGTACATGCGACGGTATGTTAATGAGCTTCGGTTGTCCAGCGAAAGCCAGACGTAATTCCCAGTTTTATAACGTAATGTCAAGCTTAGGGGCTATGGATTGCATCAGTATGCTCTTCGGTATGGGAAGGTCCGAAGAAGTGCATAGCGCAAGACGGGACCAGAAAAATTCGGCTATAAAATAATCCACGGAAAGCGCGGCAATGATGGAAACGTTACTTGCTTGATGTATACATGCGAACGTTTGTTTATTGAGGATTTACCTAACAACTTCTGCCTCGAACAAACCTAGCGACGGCGAGACAAAAGCTTCAAAGATAATAAAAAGTAAACAGCTACAGTACTTTCAATCAATTGGAAAGATCTTCTTTACTCGACATCAGAACGAAACCTACAGACGATAGTCAGTCAGGTTTAACGGCCACAGTTTACGAATCTTTAACAGCGTACAGCCGCTTCTCTGATCCATTGTAACCCGCCCATTCGAAATAGATTTTGCTACACGCACAGTTAACGTATTTGCATGCTGAATTTCGAGATACGGAATGAAGTTAGGTTTAGGTGCTAACAAGAAGAAGAAGCTATAAGCTATCTAAAGCGATGCTTTAGATTGATGTGAATACCCGAAAGACCTATTTAGATTTTGTGACATATGTATAATATTGAATGAATAGTACCGTACGAATATTTTGTAAACTGAAGGCTCGGTGGAGCATCACACCTTCCTTTAAAGAAATACTCTAATAATAATAATAATAAAATTAGCGTCACACATAAGAAAATTAGTGGCGTTCGTCAGACTGTTTCCAGCAACCCGAGCAAACACAAGAATTAGCTTATTCGTTTCGTCGAAAAGGTTGTCCCGTATTGGGAAGTTTCCAAAAATAAAAAAGAACCAGAATTCCTCAACCTGTCGTAGAGCAATCACGTTTAGAATCTCGGATCGGTTCGACATTTAATCGTAACTACTACATTACAATGTATCTCACGCATGTGAAGCATACACCGAGTCCCCCGTTAAGATCCATTCCGCTTCTGTTGAGCGGATAAACGTTGATTCCCTTGATAATACGACATACTACGAAATCGAAGCAGACGATTCCCTATGACGTGCAAGAAGTTAAAAACATCCAGCATTCAGCAACACCTCCAGCGATTTAGAGCCGATAGAAAGCATTTTGGTTGTCACTAAACGCCCTCAAAGCTTAGCAAAAATCATCTTGTTTGCATACCCACGATTCAACTCGGCGTTGCCGATCATCAAACCTGAAACGAGACAATCGCACAAAAAGAGCAGTAATGATATTATGGTTTGTCAAGTAAATATGAGTTACTAGGTCACGTACGCTTTCGAAAAGTACCTGTTGAACTACAGAACCTCGACATAGGCCACAGGTACGGACACATCAAAAACAGACTATCTCTAATAGAAGATCTTTTTGGACGGACTTTGTGCCGATCTGTAAGTCTGAAGCAACGTGGACATTTTTCCGAAAAGTAGCTAACACATCCACCGAAACCTAAGTGGTCTTTCGCCTCCGAGCTATATTTGTCACACAAATGCAATTGAGGAAGGAATGCCCCACAAAATGAAAACTTCAACTACTCCAGCTTACAGCGGACCGCTAAATTTATAATGAAATTCGTTTGAAATGCGCTGAGAAAGATATCTTTTGATTTTTCCAAGATCTTTGTATTTTTTTTAATTGTTCAAATTTATGTATATTTCAATCTGGTCTGAAACACATGTCTATTCGATTTTTCCAGAACTTCGCAGCAAGGCCATCAAAAAAAAGAGAATTAAAATCGTTTGGGTCGAGCTGAACAGGGCCTAAATAGAACACAGTGACAAGTGGTTTTTGCATGCCCCCACTAAAACTAAACTAATACCAAATGAGTTCTGCAAAAAAAAGATACCGTAAGATTCGTGACACACAGTGAATGCATCAATATTCTCAATCCAAGATTTCTCCTCATTTTCTTCGAATAGCTAAAGATGCATGTAGTCTGACATTTTGATAGTGGGATATAACCTGTTCACTGGTTTTGGTCGATTTTTTCGGTGGTTTAATCTTGTTAGTTGTTGACAATAGACAAGTCCAATTATATCGTTTCGACACGCGACGGTTCCTTCTCACGACAATTCCTCCTAGCAGATACCATCATCTTCCTAAAGCGTTAATTAAGCTTAGTCACAGATTGTGGAGTATTTTTTTCATTTGTACATCAATTTGGAGCTTCGTAAGTGGAAATACAACCCAGCTTTTAAGTTTTTTGGCGTTATTTCGTGTGACACCTAAATCTCGAAGTTATTTTTGTAGCCAGGTTTCTTCAAATGAATAATTATATATATTATGAATAATTATAAATTCCTTTCAACTTTAATTTCATTTATGGCGCTCTATCTTATATCTGAGTAAAGAAATCTTAAAGCCTTTGCACGCCTACTGCTTTCGAATGTCAACTTTCAAACGACGCCGACGCGTCTCATTCTCTAAAATATTTTCCAAAAAATGCAATTCAAAACTATTTAGTTACAAACGGTAAACATCTTTTCGACTTATATATATATATTGTAATGACGACGGCATAATACCTTTATAAATAGCAACACGTCGTCCTTGTGTAACAATAGCGACGAAAATGCCCAAAAATTATTAGTACGCACCATAATACTGGGCCGCGCCACTTACGTACATGCCCCAACATATTACCTAACGCCGTCCGTGCTTTCAACTGGTTCTTATCATCATTTAGGCACTGGTTCCCGGTTGACAACCGTACACGGTTCGTTGCAACGAGGCCATGCGGTTACCCCAAAAACTGTTGAACTGCCGTTAACACTCAGCGACTTCTGTTTTACCTATACGAACCTAAAGTTTTTCGTCGATTGTTGGGACCGTGTTCGCTGATGCACTCAGGTAAGCAGAAAATGTTGATTTTCTGCAACCGTCCAGTTACGAAAGGATAGTAGCGCAGCGTCACTACAATTGGTAACAGCGAGAGGACAGCGAATCGGTATCGACGATTTGTTCGTCATACTTACATAGCACTAGTGATTTAAATGCCTAGGACTACAGGATTACATGGGCCGTAACAACATGTAGAAGGGTATATGACTTTTTCTCGCAAACTGCTGAAACTATTTCGCCCCACCCTGTAAATAGTGCGTCTATGTTTAACAGATGAACCGGTAGTAAGCGGGTCATACTCCGATAACAAGGGCGTTTCATGAACTGAAAAGTTTATAATGTAGACAAACTTTGCGAAGGGTGATCGAAAGCCCAGCGTTGTCTTTTCCTATTCGTGAAATTAAAAAAAACGAGAGGCTCCCTTCATTCGACCGAATTTATCCTAAATTGTTTGCTTCATTGTTCTCGAAACGTTATCAATTAATGCATGTTCCGATAGGGACCGTTTCTACTTGTGTTCTATTAATGCGCTCCCTTCATCATTTTCCGAATCATTATTGAACAAACAAAGCTTCCAAGCATTCTATTCTGTAGATTGTTGTTTCAGTTCCAACATCGCAATGTATATACCTAAGCACTGGCACACAAAACATGTATTATCTACATCAGTAATGAGATTGATAGAAAATGCCGCCAATTTTGAGCTCAAGCTTTCCAGGTTCTTCTGTGACTAACGATAGAAATCGATAATTAAAGAACTGACCGAATCGATACCTTGTAGTAGATTATTATAGCGATGCTAGCAGCAACGATTTCAGTGCACACATTAACGCTGTTTAGTTCTGGTCCAACCTTGCCCGCGCGTTGCCATAGCGTCATGACGGATCCGTAACACAGCGTCAGGATGACGAACTTGTTGTCATATATACGTTACTGGCCGAAATCATAATTTGTCTCATTTCGCTGGCCCTGGCGTCGGACTCTCAAATAGAGCTACTGCAGCTGTTGCTTAAATCCGAAAATCTTCTCATAGACGACTACACATAATTAGTGTAACGCCATCATATGATCTGTCCTTGATGGAAATCGAAGTCAATGGGAGTATCATAATAATAATAATAATAATAATAATAATAAGTGTTTATAGAAGCGGATTCCTCGTATAATAGGCAGTGAAGACAAAAACGAAAATTCCCGAATCATTATTACAAACGCTTAAGAGTTTGACATACACAGTGTGGTACATGCGCACAAACTGTAATATAAACAATAACAATCAGTACAAATAAAATTAAATGCCGAAAATTTCTTTATGCTATAGGATGTATCTAGTTAAAGTATAATGATTAAATTAGTTTGAGTACTATCACCGGTACTCTCATGTATTTCTTTGTTGTCATCTGCTGTACTCATCGACTAGTGCCTGTCCTATAATAAATACCGCTTAATAATATAAACGAGATTTCAGCAACGACGAGAACAATGGACTCTGTCCCAAACGGAAGCTAAAAACAATCAGACTTCACATGCATCGTTCCAACCTGGCATTGCAGAGACAACCAAATATATATAGCCCTTTTCTTTATTTCGATTTAACAACAAGGTACAGCATTTTCTAATGTGGTGACGAGAGGTTCCGCAAGAACTAATCAATCACATTGATGCTCACTTGAATGCGCTGTGGTTAACTACTGGCACGTCGGGGCTATCAGTCCCCTTACTTGGATCTGAAACTCCCAAACAGATTCCCAACTATGCGAGTATCTTTTTTGAGCTGCAAAACCTATCAAAGTCAGATCAAGCAGCAGAGTCCGCTGATTGATAGCAATCCACAGCATCTTCAAGTTCTGCTACAGTCGTTTGTTCTCGTGAAGTAACTTTAAAACACTGCGGTGGTACGGGTTCGAAACCTAGCATACACTCCTCGCGCGTCTCATGTTGTTAACCTGTCGTCTAGATAATGAGTAGCTAAAGCAGTAGTGTCGGACATTAAATTCGAGACCATTCTTAAACGCTGCTACTGCGGCTGTTACTTAAATCCGAAAATCTTCCCATAGACGACTACAAATAATTTTTAATTAGTGTAATGCCATCATATGATCTGTCCTTGATGGAAAATCTTGGTCGTGCGGTTTCATTGCCTGGCAGTAGGTCAGAGCTGATCGACCAAGTAACCGATTGGAGCGCATTTGCCATATGCTAAACAGGGGTTATCAGTATTAGGTTAAGGATAGCGGGTTAGTAGTAAAAGTGCTTCCGATGTGGTCGTACTTCTTGTTTTCGCCACCAGAACAATTGAAGCATGACCGAATCAATCGCTCGATGCATGCAGAGAACAGCTAGAAATATCAGCTTTCGACTGTTCATCGCGATACCGGCACAGAGAAAAGCAGCAAAAACAACCGAAGAAGGAAAACAAGCGCGGGAAGTACCAGCTATAAAGAAAGTACAAAGCCCCGAATGGCTTGTGTTTACAGCCTTCACTGATGCGTTACGCCGATTCGGTCGTTCAGTCGCTCCGACACGAAACGGTTTCTCCGACCCGGTTCTCGCAGCTGGGACACTCGCGGGCGAATTAGGCGGTGGCAACAACTGCGGCAGTTAGATTCACACTAATGCAACTGCTTTTGCCATTACTAATGCTGGTGCGGCCGGGATTGCTAATACAGTGCAACTGTGACGAGTATCTATCTGAAAAGCCCTCCTAGTTCAGTGTTCGGTCTGGATGTTCATGCGGTATGTTTGTGCGTGTGCTTGAGTGTATATCTGTATATACGTCTCTAATGACAGCTGTCAGAGCAGCGGTGGTTTTGGAAGCGGCAACAGCCGTTGTTATGATCATGTGTCTCTCTTTGACTGGATGTGTGTATGAGATTGATCAGTTAGATAGTTCCCCAACAATGACTTTATCGTCACAGCGACGCGCGCCCGTCGAATTGTCTATGCGTAAACTTGGCCGATGCTGGACTTCATCGCGGCTAGTAGATCTCAGGACTGCGGCAGACAAAACGTTCTAACGACTGCATGATTCCCAACAAGAAAAGAATCGATACTGGTGAAGATGAAGTCGTAGCCGTCAGCCTGTTGTCAGTGATAGGATGCTCGTCAAGGTGTGTCACACGCATATCTGTTGATTTTGCTGTCTCCCGACCTAGTCGTTTTCCCTCTTCAGCTGCTGTACGTTGTACTGGTGAAGCAACAGAGCCATAAAATAAAAAGTGTGTACTTTTCTGCGATGTAATCACGGCGTTCCCCTTTATTAATGGTCGGGGGTTTTTTTTAAGTAATTTTTGACACAGCTAAGTAGATAACTAAAATTATTTACTGCTTCCGCAGAGCTTACGAACGGGTGACATACATCGGAGCAAAACGTATCATTTTATATATGCGTACCAGGAAAATTTACATTCAATAACAAAATTTTCCAACCACAGACTTGGTACATCTTGAACCAACACCGTTTTCGTTGACTGTGGGCCCTCTGATAGTAACACTAAACCCACTGGCACTGATATTGTATCCGGTCAAAATACCCGATCCTTCATATATGATTGTTTCTCAATTGAATAATTATTGTGTTTCCAATTCAACGTAGATGTTCAATGGTACATTTCGCTGGTGACGTGATTACATTTAGATAAGAGAACTTCGAAGAAAGTTCAGTGTTGGAAGCGTCGATACGCTTTTGGGTACATGAAATAGTTACGGAACCGTTGGCGTATGGCAAATACTACTCAGCTGTTGTCCTAACGCGGCGTAATTCCTGTGTACGGTTCAAACAAATGCTGTTTATCTAACGCAATTAGCAACAACTATAGTCGTGTACTTCTTCGTTTCCGTCTTATACAATTCCATTTGACTCTTACAGCTTTTTGACGTCGTCTCAGGTTGTTCGTAATGGCAATTTTCGCGGTTATTTTTTGGCTTTTTTTCGTTTCGCTTCTACAAAGGGACCTTTTTTTGCCTCTACGGCCATTTTGCTGCCTTAGCCAACAAGTCATTCACAAGCAAAAAACGTTGACACACATACTTTTTATATATACCATGGTGCTGTGACGAGTCGACATCGAACAGCACTTTTGTAGCCATATGCCGCTCGAGTGGGCTTCACATTTTTAGCCCATATCGACCTCTTCGTTCCGTTGCCCCTTATGCTTTCAGCTTTTCATCTTGTCACCCCTATCTAATGTGAATAGAGTAAATGTTTGTGTGAATTTATTCATTCACTTGTTCAAAAACGCGCCATAACAATCTCTTTATCTCTTCTTTAATTTTTTTCGATCCGTCAGTCGACGCTGCAGAAACTACGGACGCAGAATATCGAACGCATCCACGTAGCCGCTATCTACTTCTACAGTTACTATGACAACTTCGACTCCCTCTCTCTCCGTTTTTTCTACTTCTCGCCTTAGCCATACCTCAAGCGGTGCCATATCTACTGCTACAGCCGCTGGTGCCCTGCGATAACACTAAACACACCAGCAATAGGCGTAGCAGCACTATAATAAAATACAATACACGCAAGACGAAGAAGGAAAAAGAGCTTTTCGAAATCTTTTGCGACAACGAATCAAACAGCAGCAGACGTGGCTGGAACGGGCGCCAGCACAACACTAGCAACAACGACAACACTAATGCAAAAGATGAAAAGGCTGCTGTATATATATATATATGGAAAGACGGCTATATATATGGACGACAAGAACTTGACCCGTCGGCCGCCGGTCGGTCGGTCGGTCGGCTAGGTAGACAGACAGCTTGAATAACAGTTGAGTTTTAGGTGAAGAATGACAAAGCGAGAGAACGAGGCTGGCAATATTGTGCTCATAATAATGATATACCTACCTATGATAACGCGACGTTAATAAAAAATTTAAATGAAGTCGCTTTCCACCATTGTCACTTTTTCGTTTCGTGGTCTGTCGCTCACTTGGAAACAGTTGGTGAAGGGTGCGCATCGTAGAAATGCACATGTATATTAGATGCAGATGGGCTAAAGGTGACGTTTCAACGTTCGCCGGTTCTGCCAGTCGCTTTTAAATAAAAAAAAAAAAAAAAAAAAAGAAGAAGAAGAACAAAGTTTCCAGTTGTCGGTAGTGTGACGTTTGTTGATTGGTTGAAACTTTAGCGGCTCCGGTATGGTGTCGCTAAGTAGTTTTGAAGTCAGGTGCATTATTATTATTATTATAGTAATTAGCACTAAAACCGCTTCATAAGCTAATATTTTACTACCGCTTGATTTTCCTCTTTTTAAGCTTCCCAGTACTGCCTCTAGCATCTTGCTCATGAACTGCTAATAAAATGTCTTGCAAGGCAACGGCTGTGTGATGCGCGCGGATTTTAACTGTATCAGCAAAATGACCACAGTTAAATGTTTACCAATCCTGAGAACCTACAGAGTGAGCGGGTGGCGTGGAATTCACTGACACCGGTTTTGACAGGGTTTCATTGTCTGTTATTTTTGTATTCATGCGTAACTTGTATAGGGTCATATCTGCTTGGGATCAAGTATAAATCGGCGAAAGCCCTACGTAAATGCCAATCACTTATGATAAGTTTGGGACTTGCAGATATGCATTTATCTTTATCACGCTTCAAATTTAGTAATTAAAGTTTAAATGACGCAGTTCGCCCACCATTCAATACCACCAACACGAAAATAAATTCGTCTCAACTGAGCATAAAGGAGCTGAATTCAGACAAATACAATGATAATCAAACCCGGATGCCTAAGTGCTCTTGGGCCACACGAAGCTTTCGGTTTATGAAGGTCCTGAACCCTGTCCATACAAAGACATTTGTTCCTAGGTTAGAATCACCTACAACGGCGTGTGTACAAACGTCGAATAACAATGCATCTTCCGATAATTCACATTCAATTCGCACTGCTCATATACGAGACCCCACCGGAGCCTCTTGTCTAGAACCCGAGCTGTTACGGTAGGGTAAACTGCTATACAACACAGTTTGAGGCTGTTATAACTGCTGCACTAGTACGACCTTGTAGCTCCATCTAACCAGCAAAATGTTCGACTGGTCAATAAAGCGTTCTTTACTGCCCGGAAGGCCCGTGCAGTAGATAGATTAGAGCAAGTCCGGTCTACGGTCGACGTCGCGTAAGCGACGCAGCAGTTGTGCGACGGCAAGCAAACGCTCATCCACGGATCCGATAGATCGACGCGCCAAATTCGAATTTCCTTTACAAACTGGCACCAGTGTACCCCTAGCATATTAAACAGGCTCACATAAATGTTTAATCCTATAAATCATCGGATGAGAGATTGGCTGTTTGTATTATCAGTAGACTCTCGTAGTTCGAGAACCCAGTGCTTTGTCGGTCACAACAGCCAAGACACCGTGCGATGGACTTCATCTGTCTCATTGCACTATGTCATTAAATATCCTTGCCTGTAATTTGTTATATTGTTCTTACGTTAAGACTAACAAAGAAACCAAATACAAATTCAGAATGTCAATCACTTAGAAATCAAATATTAATGCACGGAAATATGTGCAAGATATACTCGTACAGATTTCGGGTATCACAATTAAGATTGATTTTGATTTTTCTTATCGACTCAGATTATGCTCTGTTCATGTACTATTGAGAAAACGAAATACCGGTCGTTGGTCCATTTTAACCAATTGTTCGACAATTGTCCTAATTTGTTTGCCATACCAGCTCCGCTAATGCCTTGAAAGACGCGGAAATACTTACCATATCAAGAAATCGAACAGTGTATTAATAGGTTAACCTGCATTTACCTTATAATAGTTTAACTATGAAACAATTTAGTAACGGGACGCAGTTCGATGCGATGTCTTTATCTTGCTTGAAAATTACTTCCACGTCCTACTGTTCGTCCTTATAAAAGCTGGCAGTTCCCAACGAGACTAACTTTCGCCTCCACGTGAGCTACCGCTAAAGTAGCTGTCTGTCTTCGTAACGTAAACGAAATAAAATGATCAGTAAATCAGATCATTCAATTTTCTTTTTTTTTTTTTTGATTAATCGAAACAACGTACGACGACAACAACTTAGCTGAGTGGCTCCGTCGGCAATAGCAAAATCTAGCAATGCCGGGGATGCCACCACCGCGCTGGACAGTATGTTAAACGCACCACTATACATTTCAGATGCAGTACACAAATAAACCGTTAATACACACATTAATAAAAAGCACTGACCGATAATACCACCAATATCTTAATTGGTGTCCATAGTATGTCACTAATTTAAGGAATATGGCACCACATCGGTGATTCGTATGTCCTATTGGGGACGCTGCGATGACAGCACATGTGGTTTCGCAATGTCGCGGTTAATGTCAAAGGCTACATATTATTACCACAAAATCTTGTGGTGTGTGAAACGCTTGCATGCTGTACTTTGTATGACGTAATGAGTATCTATAATAAATTACCCAACATTTTCTTGGAAGTAATAGTGAAACTATTGCTTGATACATTTTTTCCGGTGTACCATACAATTACTATTACTTCCAGTGTTTTCCAGCCTTCAGGGTCTTTCCTAAGTGTTTTTTTGTGTCTCTCCATCACTAATACGTATTGTACCCTGATCCGACAAAATATCGAAATTTGTTGTTTGTAAACGACCTGCCAAGTTGCTAGGTGAGTATTGTTAACGCTTCTGACGCCTAACGAAGACCTAATCCTGCGCGCTTCCCGTAATCCCCAATCCCACTTTCCCGCTTGAACCCGTAGGCTGCCATCACGGCGTTTACTCAATCAACTGCTGGATGATGAACCGACTTGCACCACGTGTTTGTCCTTGCTACAACTGTATAATCATTATATTGAATACACAAATACCCATTAGTAACTTTTAGCTCATTAAGGTAGTGGCAAATTAGGCTGTTTACGAATGCGACCTAAACTCAATTGTTTCTCCTTATTTACAGAATTTTGTTGTAGAAAACAAAAAGTCATTCACCTGTTAGTGCTGAATTGACTCCCGCCGCAATCTATGACGACGTCTATGTGATTTTTTGTATCGTAGCTGACTCTTTGTTTAAATTAACATTCCACTCTTCTAGAAAACTAACTCTAGAGCAACAAATTGTAGGAATAACACACGGATTCTCTAAACACCATGGCATTCTCGGATCTGTGTATCATCGTCGAACACGTGCTGACCAATAATTGCTAATGGCTACTAGGATGTATCCGGCCCTCATTTACTTTTCTCCCGATGAAGTCCCTATAGAAGTCGAAACTGCAAATGAACAAAACGGAAAATTAAATAGACATTCTTCAATACAAATTTAAAATCTACCGTCTAGACTAATCAAACGTTCTGTCGACTATTCAACTGATTTACCGATGCAGAAACAATGTGGACCAATCGCAGCAGCAGCAGCGACTGGATAGACTTCTTTTTTGGACTTCGTTCAAAGAAGCGACACGACACAGTAGTAATTCAGAATACTTCAGAATACGGCCGCATTGGTCGTGCGGTTTTTACTGCTCGGACCCGTGGCTTTATACCGCCGCGGATTGTTCGGACGCCTGCTTGCTCATCGCTGCGACTCCTAGCTACCAGCCTTCACGTCCTGCGGCTGTCGACAAAGTGTTAACGCCAGGGCCGGTTGGTTCGACGTAGAATCTCTGGCCTTTGCTATTGCCACCAGCCGTCAGGCAAGAGACTGGAGCAGCGCCTAACCAAATCTTATGGCAAAGGCAACAAAGGGCACAAGAACGTAGCGACAGAGGGGTACGATACCTGTAGATGTAAATTTGCATATAATGGATAAAATGCAGTAAGAGCAGTACGCGCACACTCCAGTTTGGCCAGCGGGACTTGCCGGGCTCAATACGGCTTACCGAGTAGTACCACTGCGGCCACCGCTGCCGCTGCAGCTGTGTGCCTTGTGTGTGCTTGTATAGTAATTGCCATTAGTGACGGCTCGGACCGCTACCTGTTCTTGCTATGGATATGACCATAACGGTTGTGACGAAAAGTAACGGTGCAATCATCTAAATCGTCGGCGATGCTGTTCGTCGTCGCAGCGCAAACGCCACCTTACTGCTTTGGGGCAACCACACAAGCAGCAACAGCAGCAGCAAAAGCAACAGTGGACGGCAACAACGAATTATGAATTGTCTTCGCGGTGGAGACGCCGGCATCGACGCTAGGATATGATGTCGCACACGCAACCAATAGATGATACAATACACGGATTTTGCTGACTGCGTATTGCTGATGCTGTTACAAAGAGCGAAGACGACGACGGCGGCGTAAGTGGCTAGAGCTGAAGGAAGAGCCGGCAAACTCGATCTGACCTGATTGATCTGTCTGTGCGCGAATTAGTCCATCTGTAAAGTTGATTGATTCATCGCTAGCAATACGGGAATCGAGAAGAGTACGGTGTTGCAGCATATCAAAGAACAGCTAACATAGAACAACGGTAGTTCTTGGCTGAGAGAAAAAGACGGAGAAATGCGATACAAATACGGTGGCAGTGGAAAGTAAGGCGCGTTTCCCGATAAAGACGAAATAGAACTAACGTTAGGGATCGTCGATAGAGGGGCAAGTAGCTGAAGGGAAACAGCTCTCATGAAGATCCATTGCTATACTGATGTCGTATAAGTACACCACTAATGGCCGATACTTAACCGACCGTCCGGGCAGGGTTTCGGCCACAGTTACTGTGGTAAAAAACACTGGACAGTTGTATATGCTTTAGCGGGGAGAAGTTCATAAATCGTATCGTTGTTTATACGTTGTACAAGTCAATTGATGGTATAGTGTGACATTGCTTGTGATAGCCATGTTTCCGGTGCTCAGTTCCAAAGATACTAGCAACTAGAATATGCTTCCAGTACAAGATCTGCGACAGTGTTTACCAAGGCTGGCAAAAATTATCTGTGCAGAATAGTTATCTGTATATTATATAACATGTCTTTTAAGCACACGCTGTGCCTATTATCATAGCATCGTCGTTGTAACTTCTGACAGCTATGAGAGTACCCGTTTCTCTAAAATAGTCGAATCAAGACGCCATTTGTAATTTACGTGTCTCTCAATAATGAAATAGTTCAGCAAAAAACCACCGTTCGGAAGCTGTTAGTTTATTTGTAGAACTGCTGTTTATAATGCATTGCGAACGTGCACACAAAGTACAGTAAACAATTCACAAACCCACGGCGGTTATATGATCTGTTGCAACTACAATGCCTGTTTCCATCTTTACGTTTCTCGCTTTTATTTTTGTTTTGCCTCGTTTAACGAATCAATACTCTACTACTATATAACTATATGGTGCATTTTCTACGTGATATCAGAGCAGAAACGTTCGCTGTTATCGCTGCATATTTCCTCACATCAATAAACCAGATAGGTGAATGGCGCGACCAGTCTTTCCCTGTCGACGCACGGGACAAACAATCACGATCAGCTCATGGGAATTATGGACCTGGTTCCATGATAGGACTATTTCCCATGGATTGAAACAACTTACCTCGTCGGCGCTGTCGCTCCTGTACTTTTTCTTTCTGTTCGTTCTGTCCTTCAGACCGCGTCGTTACAACATTTGGCTAACTGGCCCAGCGTACCCAGCCATGTAAAAAAACACCCGCTCGAGTTCACGCACAAATCACACGATCATATGGTACGATACGATCGACCCCCTGTTCTGTTGAGGCACCGGCTCGCCTTCGAGACACTGCTTTTCGCTGCAAATAAATGTCTTCAATTCGATAAACGGCCAGACAGCGGTTTCAATTGATACAATATCGTTAAGAGAAATGATAAGGGGGTTTTGGCTAACGTTCACTAACTCATGATGACAATCGTTGTAAAAACTGATCACTACTAGTAGGAACGCTGGTGCTGACGCGCTGGCCCATCACAGCATCGCGGCGCATCACTAGCGACCACAGCTGCAACACAAATGAACGAAAGTCTCAGCGGAATGTCAATGGAACACTTCTTTGGATCGATGCACGACGACGACGACAACAGGTAGAAATTGACAACGAAGATCACTCGGAGTGCGGCGTTGTTGACCGGCACACGCAGAAACGTTGTACATCCTACAGTCTACACCAAGTGGGCGCAAGAGGCTGCGCAGTACCTTTTATTCTTGCAACCCGTCGAAAAAAATAGCACTATTCGAACAGTAGCAGATGAAGCAGCGTTTCTTCTTTTCGTTCGACAACGGGCGAAAGCATCCGTCGACAACTCGCACCTGAACGTATTTAATATGAGGCGTCGAGAAGAACGATCTTCTCGTGACGTTAGCCGTCAGCCACTTTAGACTTCTATTGCTTTGAACTTCCTGTACAACGACAAAAACAACGCCACTTAGGTGCGTGGGGCAGCTCTTCACCTTTGCAGCTGCTTAATATGGAACCCCACGACCTATACATGCCCTGGGGAAGTTTTCGAGTTGTTAATGCAGTATACGGTACTAACTGAAACACTTATTAAGAGCTGTCGATTTACTTTTACCAGCAGGTGCTCTCCGTATTGTTGTAAACTATCCTTACACATAAGTCATCTGTGTTTCGGAAGTTAAGCGTGTTCTGTGTCCCAACTAGCCGAGTCAAGCAGCTCAACTGCAAACTTGCGCAGAAAGACAATGCGAGATATGGGGCAAACAACTTATTAGTTAATAGTAGAAATTGTAGTTAATGTTATAATAGATCGTTCATGGATCTACTGCCAGTGGCACAACGAGGCACTTTTTGTGTCGCCCGCTGCTGGGCTGCTTCTTTGCGCCTGACGCGCTCCAGCCCAGACGCAACTGACGACTGGCGCCCTCGACTTCTGTTCGTACGACGTTACACCCGCCGTCGGCGGCACTTCCACGCCCCCCAAGAATACACACACACACACACACACACACGCAGGCCGAGTTAGGCTCATGCGACGACGCACAGACAAAGCAACGCAGACACCCTTTTCCTACGGCAGGAACACCGACCGCTTACTGCTCGGACGCACGCACATCCACACGGACCATTACATCGACTTCCGTTGTGCTATCCGCTGTGACTGTGTCCTCGTGGGGTGTCAACCTCTCGCAAGTTTACGGAAGATATACTCTTCCCCTCTAAAGAGCGACAGTGGCAGTGGCAGTGGTCGCAGTAACAACAGCAGTCATTCCCCAAGTAAACTTGCAGGTGGCGTCCTCTCTCCAATTTGACAACACCATCTACACCGGCACCTCGACTGCCGCTCTCCAGTAGAAGCAGCCGGAGTTTTCAGCGGCGGCGGCAACAGCCGGAGTCTGCTGTCTCCCAGTCCCCGACACGCTAGACACACACCACAGCAGAATTCTAGGCCGCCGCCTGCTAGCACCCGCTATGGCGGGACGAACTCAATTTGGTAGCCGTTCGCTGAACACAGAGCACAGCAGTACGACACTTCATTCATCTGAAACGTCTTCGGTCGCGATCGAGTGAAGAGGGGACAGACTCGAAAGTCGAAGACGGGGGTGGTGCCGACGAACACACAGCGAATTACACTCACACTCCGTAGCTTCTATACTCCGCCACACAAGAGACGAGAAGCAGACAGAATGGAGCTGGTGTCAGTGGCCGCCGGTGTAACTGGTTTGGTTTTGTGGTTCCGAAAGCACCGCGGAGCAACAGCAGCAGGCTCAGCCGTCGCCGTACCAGTACTTATTACTGATCATAGTACGGCATCGAAATCATTAACTCGACTGTTATCAGCCGGCGCCTCGAACGGCCGTAGCAGCGAAATGACGACGATCGAGTGCCACAGCGATGACAGTGACCGGTCGGTTTGTCGGTTCTTTCCTGCTGCTGAGCAACCACAAATCCGAAATGCTACTGTTAGTGACTATATGGCAAAACTTCAATCGAGCCGCCATATTGAAGTAGGCAGGTGTATGTGATCAGAGAGTTTCATAGAAGCTTCAGCGGCAGGCAAACTATTATGTACCGTAGGATCATACAATTCGACACAAAGTAAAGGAATTTTACCTACGAGTTGAAAATATGGATGGGTCACTCACGAGTCGGTTATTAGCCCAGCCATACAGCGGAAACGGGTGAAAAGTGAAGACGGCGAAAAAAACGCGACAGAAACATCATTTGATTGCTTCACTATAGACAGAACGAAAAGCGATAGCTACACAATAGTTTTCATATAGTGCGTGTGTGGTATACGATGGTTGGGATAGGTATAGGTTTTTAAATATTTTTAAAGTGTATTTATTTGATTTAAATAAAGAGTTGGTAAATGTGATTAGGCAGGGGTACATGGCCAGAGTTATGATTACTGTCTATGCCTCTGTATAAAGCATTATTATGTGGCGGCAGTACAATCAGTTTATATATATATATATATAAAATGTTTAATTTTTATTAAGTCGATAGGTTGCAGAAAACATTCGTGACATATAAAAATATTAATATAGAATATTAAATATAGGATTAAAATGTTTCAAGTGTAAAATTATCACATTTTATTTTCTCTCTGATTATATACTTAATAAATTAACAATTGTTCATATTTTTCTATATAAAATTGTCTATATATGTATCTATTACATAAAAGCACGTAGGTTACTAATATTTTTACAGCGGGCATTAGTGAGATAGATGGCCAATAGGTTTCAAGACAAGAAATCCAAGAGGTATAGTCATATATAGTACGGCAAGAGCTTGACATTCTCCAATGTGTTCTTGAAGGGTTTATGCTTCATATATATAGCTTTGAAACTTACACAAGTGGATTGCAAATCTAATTCCTTATTTAGTTACTGAAGTGCTTGAACGACCACCCTTGGAAATCCATTTTTTTTGGCAACAAATCGACCTTGTCAGAATACGAACGAAATCGGGCAGAGTAATGAACGGTTTGTTCGCTGTTTTTTGCAACTTATATGCCTTTTCCACCAATAGAGCTAATAAATAACCGAGGAAAAAGTAAATAAAAAACAACTACAGGTTTTGTTACTGTTATCGATACACCGTACCTGCGGGCCCCTAGACTAATAATACATCACTAAGGATTATGATTACATACTGTCATGATATTTCGTGATTAATCCATGAAATTAAAATTATATGTTTAAGTTATTTCTGCACAGAGTGTCCTACGTAGCGTCGTTTATTATGCAGAAATGTAATTACATGTTATCCTTTCCTTCAGTGTGCTATGAAAATACGAATTATCTCGACTCTCTGTCTCTCCCTTTCTCTTGCCGTCAGTTCAAACGGGCGCGCCACAATATAGTTGCCTGCTAAAGAAGAAGCTTCTATGCGAGGCTAGGTTGCCTGGCCCTCTCCGTCTCACCATAAGTTAAGCAGGAACAGTCCAGATAGAAGCACAAACTCTCCTAGCGAAACAAAGCAATTTCTTCCCGTTCAACGGTAAAAGTAAGGAGTGCGGCATCCAATCAGACCGAAAGCCGTCGTTGAGGCTAGCAACAGTCGAGGGTTTTACCCATCACTAACTCACCGTAACGAAGAGTGCTGTTCGTTACGGTGCTGTTGCTGTTCCTCCCAAGCTGCTACTAGGAGCATACGCTAGTCTTTGAAAAGCCGCAAATTCGTGTGCGTGTGTGTATGTGTATGTGTCTTCGCGCTATTCAACGAGGGTTTCGCATCGACCGTCGTCCAGTTGCGTTTCGTCGTGTGCCAACGAAGCACGCAAACGTAGGTAACTAATGTTCTACGCGGAGAATCAACTAAATACACAGATGATTGCTGGCTGCGTTTGTCGATTAAAATGTATACAAAGCAATGTTGTCCGCGGCGCTGGAGACAGAAGTAAAACAAAACTAGCGGGTAGTCATTGGTAGACCGCTGTTACCCACCGTTATTGTGAGACTGGTCGGAACCGAACCAAACACTGATTTGAACTATGTACAGAAAGAAAGACGGAAAAGCTATACTGTCGATCCGCATATTGTGATTCAATGGGTGCGGGGACGAAGGGATTCAATGAAGTTCACCGAATACTCCCAGATTTTCCTAGCGCGTTGCTGCACCGCCGGTGTTACAATCCGGTTTGCGTTGTGGCCAACGGCGATTCGCTTTGCAAGCGACACACCTACGTGTTCCTGATGCCGTTTGGGCTGCTGTAGAATGGCGCAGATAGATGCGTTGTGACTATTTGCCTTTCCTTTTTTGACATTATGATTGCGAGTGGAAATGAAAAACACTTGATACGAGTCGACATTGATGTACCCAGCTGTAAGTGTGCATGCGAAAGTCACACGAAGATGAGCAAGCGATCCTTTGATGTGATATTATGTAGTACATCCAATACGCGTGATTCATTTCATGGGTGCGTGAATTTCTGTGCTTATGGAGCGCACTTTTTAGGGCGGTTTCGATGTTGTTTATGTGTGCGTTTCTCTTATCTGTCTGTGTGCGTATTGAAAAAAACCCATCACTACTAAGTCTGTTCCATGCACTGGTTCATTATATAGTATTATATGATGTTTCTATTGTAGGTGAGAGTGAAATTGAGATTCTCGGATATGCTGCTCCACAGAAATCCGTCTCGCTGACGGGCACAAAACAATGATGCAGTGGGGGGACCACATATTATGTTTTCTATTCAGGAAGCTAAAACTTTTTGTGTACCTTTTCCTAGCTTAGTTCAAATCCTTTATATCACTTTCCGAATTGGGAAGCGGACGATTTAGTCATGGTCGAAGCTAGTTAGCAATATTATAGCTATATACTTATTAGGAAAATGTATCTACCAAAATTAAAAGGTGTACATGTATAAGACAGCTGAGACAAACGAACTAAATCTCTGTAAATGACTGTATTTCTCGCGAAAGCTGATAATCTTTCTGTGCTATTTCTTCTCTTGATGTATTAGCAATAACTTGCGGATTCCATCTTTTAGCTTAGAAACATAAATAAGCAACTTTCCCGCCGCTCTATCTTCAGGGGCATGCTTAATCTATTCATACTTCTGTCATCATACTGTGTTTTATCATTCAGACAAGTATAGGCTTGCACCATCCAAACATAGTATATCAAGCTCTTCCACTCTACTATCTGAGATCTCTTCTGTAGTCACAAAAAAACAGTTGCTTTCTCGCTTACAGAATGGCAGTTTATTGCTCTTGGTACTATAATGCAATCATAGTTGGTTTCTCCTGTGGTGAGTCGGCTCGTCCCCAATAGGTGTTTGGCCCTCTCCGACAGTTTCATTTGGACGAAGTTTTATGGGCGGCTGGCGATGTTGCCCGCCGACTGTGGAAGCATTGGACGCAGTGGTGGACGAGATCAGAGATATGGACAGCGTAGACTGCGGTCTCTCTTGTCCTGATTGTTTATTAAATCGACATTCAGTTGTTTGACGGTGGTTTCGAGACCACCACTAAATAGAGCTGTAGTTCTAATCAATGTCCGAACTGGTTGGTCTTTCAAACCTATCAGCTAATCACTGAGTGTGCTGGTCGTAATGTCTATAGAAGGTACTCTGTTTCTACCAGGTTTAGAGAGATTCAGCAACTGCTTTTCTGGGTGTTCTATGAACTTCCGTCAATTTGTACTGATACTGACATATATTATTCTGCTAGCAGTTCAATAGCAGGAACATGGTAACGGTTGTCACTGGTCGACCTATGTAATAGCGGTCAGCACTACGCTACCTTAACCTACAAACACTAATGCTTATAAACGCATACGTACATTTCTTGCACATGATCCATATCACATGTACGTAACGGACATTACATTACGCCCAGTGTTGACATTAGGCGTCACTGGAGATCGCTGGCTGGCTGCCAGCACCAAACCCTGCTTGACGACCCTTACACTGTCACTAACAATAATACGCAACCTTGTTACAATCAGTTTGTGATTCCTTTGTGATCGCCTTTAATCCTCACCCATTTAGCCTGCCTCAGCGAACTTATGAAATTGCCCATTCGTATCATCCGATTACACTGCCCTCAAGCAATTTGATTGCGACTCTCGAACAGCGGTTTCGCTAGCTTTCTTTAATTCTCCCTATGTGCTATTGTGCCGCTGGCACGCTGTGACTCGTGTACAGGTGCCCCACACGCGTGCACCTATTGCTTGAGCTTCCATTAGAATTAAGGTACCGCTAAGACCGTTGATTTCTTTTGGTCATTTTGTTGTTGGAAGCAATCTGAAGTTCAATTATCTCATGCAAATATTAGAGCGGTTAAAAATTAGCTAAATGAGTTACGTCAAAATAGTGACAATTTCAAGCATCAATTCTATTGCAGAAAATTAAAGAAACCTTTCGTTCAAAACCTAACTATATATTTGTTGGGTAAACATTAAGGAATTAAACGTTCACAATGAGTTGTGTTACAAATTCTCAACCCCTGCGGAAAGAACTGCCTAGAAAGCTCTTTTCCCCTCCGTTAACATTCGAAGTTAGAACTAAATAATTCTTCATCTACACTTTAGCTCAAATTCGATTTTTACCAGACACTGAATTTCCATTATGGTGTTTTTTTTTAATTAAGTAAAGCCTAGAGAGGAAAAATCCCAAAAGTCGTTGAGGCGCTTCCTCACAAAAAAAATGCAACTGAATCTATTATGTTAGGGTACAACTCTTTTCTAGCTCTCGTGCACAGGTACTCCACGTAGAGGTGATAGATTTTAGAAGTCACGTAAGCAGCATTCATTTCCTTCCTTCATTTTCATGGCCGCAGATGTCGTCCACCCCAGAACCGGTAGATCCAACGCGGATTATGGGCAAACTGGAATGTCTCAAAGAGATCCGTTGCCGTACTGTGCAAATGGAAAAGATGAAGACTCGGCTCAAACAGTCAATTGAACGGACGGAAAGTGAAGAACGATGTCTTGAAGAATACAGGTTAGAAATAAATAAAGCTTATTTGTTTGATACTCATAAATGTCAGTTTGGTTTTTTCTTTTTTGGAGGAAACAGCTTATATTTTAAAAGACGAAAGAACATAGGTATTTATTGTGGCTAATGTGATTGATTGAACTAGATAATATTTAGCGCTTGCTAAACTATAATGTATTTTTCATCATTAATCCAATTCTTTGTTTATATAACAAAGACGTTTTATTGTAATGATTTGCTGAACTCGATGCGGTTTATTTATATTTTTACAGATCCGAACTTGAACAGCTAATTCAAGAAAAGATGGCACACGTTGAGGAGCTTCGCCTAATTCACCAGGATATTAATAGCATGGAACAGGTATTATTATAAATCTCTCTGAAATATCTTGTTGGGACTCAACCGGTCGTATGTAGAATGCATCGCGTTTGGTAATATGTTATGAGATTGAAGCGTTGTAGCGAGAAATTATTACATTAACACGTGTGTACAACAAGCTCGAACTAGAACATTTTATGTACATGCATTTTTTTATTGGACTCTCTACTGAAAATGGATTCGACAAAAACGCTCGCCTTACCATGCAATTTCTCTGTTATATATCACGCTATCTATTGAAGATTTATCATCAAGCAAGAAGCCTATACTTTTTTCCTATACAATTTTCGACTGTCTTAGGTTTTTAACCATTGTGTAAATGACGGAAACTGATAAGTGTGCTACCCTAAGATGTAAAACAGCGTATAATTTATTCTATAAATATAACGATATCTGTAACCACTTCTAGATTTTGTGACGGGTACGCTTTATTTGTCATGTCAAAAGAGGAAAACAAATTATTTTTGCGAAACGCAGTGTCTGACCGCTTCAAACTGAAAGTGGAAGAACCCAGTTTCTTCCTCATCAATCAAAAAATTTGGGCACTTAAAATTTAAAATTTATCAGTACCTTCATACAATGGTGATGCAATAGCATCGTTTTTGCTGATCCAATTTCTAATTCAGTATATGTGTGATGTTTAGCTTTTCTGCATTCATCTTAACGTTTCTATACCATTTTTATAGGTAATTAAGCAAGCGCAAGAAGAGCGCAACCAGCATCTTGAAGTGGCAAAGCAGCTTCACCATGAGATTCGTCCCCTTAAAGACCTTGTCGATAGACTTCGTGCAGAAATCGGTAAGCACACATTTGCTAGATGACACAGTCCAATTTGTTAAAGAAAAGCCAGCATCAACAGAGAACTTCGGCGGCTTCGTTTTTATCTAAGCTGTTTCATAGTCTGAGTGAGTCGCTATTATACGATAATTTATTATGATCTATCATAGCATAGCATAGCATAGCATAGAAGAAAAGAATTGATCGTACTCTAAGGGTGGTGATCCACAAAAATGGATAAAACCGCTTAACTGTTGAGCTCAAGATCTTTTCTCTGTTGAGCTTCTAAAGATATACCATTACGCCATGTAATATTTTTCCAATGTTCCACTTATGTTAAAACTGACGAAAATAGGCAACGTGGGAGATACATAGAAAGAAACAGCTGACCATATTTTAAAGACATTGACTCGAAAAAATCTACAAGCTTCCGTTGAAAGTTGCACCGAGTACTTTTTTTTTCTAGGGAACGCTTTCAATCCTTAGACTACGATGTTACAATGTTATAGTCTAATGATGTTAAATATGATAACCTTAATAACGTATTATATTTTGTATCCAAACTAGAGAGAAAATCAATTGGTGACAATACTCGCCCTAATTGCTTAATATTTCATATATGATTGATTGGAAACTAAGAGTCACAACGGCGTACGGTGTAATTCTGAATATATAAAAATAAAACAAAAAAAAAATATATATATATATATTTTTTTTGTTTTATTTATATATATATATATATATATATATATATATATATATATAGTCGTACTAGATGCTGATAATTGCTTATCGTTGAAATTGTGGTTGTATATTCTCTCGTGTATGTGATCGTATTCGTTTAGGTTTGGCAAAGCTTCCGGAACTTCACCAGGAGGAGCCTCTAATCAAGCCAGAGTTTTTTGAGAGACAACGCTTCGACACCCAGCCAATTTCGCACCATGATATGGGGGCTGCACCACAGGTCTGCATCTGTTTATCTTACAAATGTTATTGTTACAGAGGGCCATATAAATTCATATATGTACCAGCCAAACACTGGTGTGTCATTAGTTTTACCCTTTGTTTTTGCCTAAGTATGATGTATTGGCATGATTTCACCCTAGCACTCAAATTAATAGATTTAAAAACCCTTCAATAATGACATTAATGTTTTATCTATAAGCTGTTAGATCACAAGAGAGAATGTCGAATAAAAACACAGTCTTCATATGAGTCACTCTTAGTATGTAAACGAAAATGTTTTATTTTTTATGTCGAATTGATTTTCTATTTAGGACATATGTAGGTCCGACTGCTTCATAATTGTCTCTCGCAGTACATTAATAATAATTATAAGAATAATACAATCAGTTGCTTTTTTCCTCCCTCGTTGTTATCGAATAGGTTCTACCCGTAGTTCCATCGGACAATCCTCTTTTGCAGCAACATCAACAACAATTGGCCTCGGCTGTACAGCAAATGCGACAGCGAGGCGGAGTCGGAGCAGCTATTCCTGGGATGGGCGGTGGTGCAGGCGCGATGTCTGCCGGAGGTCTAATGGCTGCTGATCGGCCGCAGAGCTCGGCAGCGTTCCGTCAACAGCCTCCCCCAATGAAAAGCTGTCTTTCGTGTCATCAACAGATTCACAGGTAAGTTTGAGCAAACGGGAAACAAGTGCGAAGTTTTTAAAGGTTGTTAAAAAAGCTCCCGTCTGTAAAGAGGTTGCTTTCAGTGGACCGTAACGTCATTGCATGAACATCTTAAACAACTATAGATTAAATCTAATGATTGAAAAATTTATTTTAGTTATCTTATAGTATTTGCTAAACCTTTAGTCCAAAATCCCCAAAGTCGCCGATTTGAGCCAGGCAAAACAAAACTATATAAAATGAACAATATAATAGTGCATATATACAAACGAAATTCGCAACTATGTTTGGAATAAGCTATGTTCTACTTAGCAATCATCTTTTTGTGACTAAATTGAGTGCCTTATAAATTTTTGAACCGTGCGATTTACGCCAGAAGCTAGGTGGTGCTGGAAAGGTTCAACTGCGTTGTAATACAACAATTAAAATGCTCCCTAGTATCTTTATAAGACTTATTTATATAAACACTGGTTAAAAATTTAAAGTTGCGTTTTTTTTTACTTTTAGGAATGCTCCAATCTGCCCACTTTGCAAGGCGAAGTCACGTTCGCGCAACCCAAAGAAACCTAAAAGAAAGATGGAAGATTAAAATAATGCCGATAAAATACTTTTCAAGTCACCAGTGCAGGTTATAATGGTGCCTATATAACAAACGTTACCCAACAGCATGCTGCTCTATTCGACTCGCAACCTATTCTTGCTCGAATGTTTGGATCGCATCTATTTGACCCCAAAAATCAATTATTATGGCTCTATGTTACCATTTTGGTCCGTAGAAGTTCATTAAATGTGACGCCATTGCTTTTGTTTCTAATCTCTATAACACTATTAGCATCGAACTAACATCTGCTAATGTATTCTTATGACTAAAGTTACGTACTCCTTACCATCCTTAGGGCCATTACCAACCATAAGGTCATTTTTAGAGTGTAAGTAAGGTGATATAAAGGCGTGTCGTAGTGGCATAAGTAGACATAAGCGATTGTCTAAACCGGATCGTACATTTTTCCAATGTTTTGATATTGATTTTGAGTCGAAGCCATATCTCATATATTTAATTTGTGATTAAACAAACAAAAGAGTTGAATAGAAGACTTGTACATTAATTGTACGGTAATCAAACCACTGTTGATGTCGTAACACACTAATGATCACTGCGCTGCACCGGCTGAAAACACAACTTCTGTATATGGTTGATAAAAGTCGTAAATTCTGCTTCCGTCTTAACCATGGGGGAACTGAAGATGTCATGGGGTTAGAGAGCTGGGAAAAGGGATGAAGGGCAAAAATGGTTTATGCAGAGTGACGATAGGCGAAATGGAGAATGCAGCTGCAATATGAAACCATTGGAGTATGCATCCGATTTACCATAAGAATTATAGGATCCGCATCACTTAAATATGCAAACTTTAATTAATCGGATACGTATGTTTCGAGCGTTTTTGAAGCCGCTTCTTCCTACGCAATCTGTTGAATCTGCCAAATCTGGATGCTCACTCCGAGGTAACGACATCCTTAAAGGATGACAGCCGGATAAACAGGTGAATTTCCGCGGGCATTTAGGTACATTTATCTTCTGCAGGTGTATAGCAACCAAAGAAGCGGAGAACCTAGTTGTAAGCCTGATGGATCCTCCGCTTATGTGTACTTCACAAGATTGTATTATTATTATTATTCTATAACGCTATATAATCGAAACCTTCAGGTTTATTAACCACGTATTGCAGAGAGAGAGAAATAAAGTTTAGTAATGGTTGCTAAAGGGCGATATTGAAATGGCAATGATAACGGATGATTACCGCTATCAGCATTTAATCCACCATCACCCACTGATGATAAGTTAGGCAACCAGTCTGACTTGTAGACGTGAATTAGTGTGATGTCAAGTTCACGCGTTTCGTCAAATTTTCATCAGCAGACGAATAGATAATGTTCAGTTATAGGGTACGATACCAAACACGCTCAGTTCCTAGTTTACCTGGGCCTTTGTTGAAATGGGGTCCACTATTTGAGTTAGGCAAGGTCCAGATGCCGTGTAAACCAGACATAACGCCCGTTTGTATTGCCTTGTATTATACATCGATGTATATTATCTACAAATAGATGTGTTAGAAAAAAATGTTAGACCCTAACATGCATACATCAAATAAAATCGTACAAGTTGTGTGGATCTGAAAGAAGCTGTTCAGAAAGAACGATTACTGTTTTATATTAGGTTCACGATGCGCTTGTATACCAATTTTAGACAAAAATAAATCTATGAAAAGCTGACTACGAGTTTAAACCTCCTTGTATAGTAAAATTGATTTGGCAAATGGCCAAATCCTGTATATATAATACATATACAGATTTTTTTTACTACAACTTTTGAATTCGATAGTATGATGGGTCTACTTTTGAGTTGCGTTTAATTCCTTAGTTAATTCCCGGTTATTTTTTTTTCATTTGAGCTTACGAGTTATAAGCGATTCTTGCTCACCCGATAGTGAATAAAATCCTGTACTTATACAGCACACTTCGTAGCTCTGTCGTATGGATTACAATACCTATTATTCTTCTAAAAGAAAGCATTTTGAAACTGTAAAGTATAAATTCATCATAATACAGTACACGAGAAAGCTACGCATGCTTCAGTTCGAAGATTAAGGAGAGATAAACGAAGGGAGTTCAGTATGTGACGGAAGAGATTTCTGTCGGAAATTTAGGATTAAAAGTGACGCGTGAACGGCTGACAAATGACATATAGACAGATACGTACCTATAACAGGAATGAACTTTCTAATGATAGATAAAATAAAGAAGAACACTGCTGATCTCCAAAGTTCCTACGCCAGAACTCAACGAGAGCACGCTCGTCACAATGGAGTTGCTGTCTACTTCATTTGTAAACATGCCGTACCTTTTTGTAAAATGTCATATACATAAACGTGCCGAAACATACAATAAACAATATATAGTAACTAAACATTGTAGTCTTTTTCGATACTCGGAACTTGTTTTTCAATTACGTCCCTTCAAACTAATGTATAATAACTATTTATCTAGATCTGAAATTTGAGTTACCGTTACTGATCACTCAAATCGAGTAAACACTGAGTGCATTTTTTTTAATTCTTCGGGAGGAAAGCCGTGGTTCACGTTTAATTATTCATAATATTTTAATCATTATATGGTTAGTTAATGATAGTCTTTGACTAATGTCAAACGTATGGAATTAGCAAAAATCAGTAGATAGAAATCTGCGATGTTAACTGGTAGACTTATTTGATCTCATTCATGTCGGTACTCTATCGATTGGGAAATCGACTATACTCGATCTGTTTACGCTGCTTTTTGAGCATGGCCTTAGTACTAATTCGTCGCGGTGTCTTCTAAATAAATAGGAAATTAATTATAGATTGATTTTTATATGGCGGAAGCCATTGGGTCTCATCAATCTTGTTCGGCACTACATACAATTCGACAAATTCTTCTAATAACTTTTTTGATGATTATTCGTTTGGTAATTGCTGGGAAAAGGATTCTCTTCCAAATGCTCTTAGGACGGACGAATCTTCTATGGTGAGCATTTTCCGGATTGCTTTCGAAACTACGTCTGCACAATACTTTTTTCTTGCTCAATGTTTTACCGGAAACTTCTTTATTAATAAGCTAAGTTGGTCGCGGAGTGTTCCCGCCGAGACTGTATAGTAGTTTATGCAAACGTGTGCTTAGCATGTCAACAATCTTCTTGGTTGCGGTCAGTATTACTCATTTGAAGAATTGCTAGTCATAAAAAGCCTATCTGATTCATTCCACGTTAGAAAACAGGTCTCGCTTGTTGTTAAACGTTTAACGTCACTTTTTGCAGTGCTGATCCGTCAAGCTCCAAAGTCGAAGATGTGCCTTGTAACTAAACAACCATGAACGTCTTTGCCATGTTTCGAAAATATGCCAGTCAGCGTATTCAAAGCTTATTCGACGTCCCGTCAGAAACGTGTTCATGTATCGCATTTCTTTGCATAACCTATATGATGGCCGGCCAATATCCGATTCGTTTTTCGCCGTTGAAATTGATTAGATAACCACTGACGACACACAGACTGTGTAAAGAGTTGCCGAAGGTTCTTCTGGTTGCCAGCAGACGCATGCCTAAACGCAACGTGTGTTTATGTTTCCGTGGAAGTTCGCTTTCCTTCCGTGCCCCCTGTGTGTTTCCTTCTACCGTTACAGAGAGTTAAAAAAAAAGTTGGGTTTGCTTGTATTTCTCAGCGCAGGACTCGAGTTTTCCTCGCGATGTGCAGATATACAGGCCTGTTAGTTATGGCGAATGCTGATGCGCGTTTGGAGATTTCCGAAGAGGAATACGTGATTAGCGAACGCCTAAGATCTCCGGGTGGTAGCAGCAAAAACGAAGTTAGGCTGTGGCGTCGAGCATAAAGTATGATGGGTGTTTGATTTATCTGCATAACAAAATTCCTCTGCATTGGAATGCTTGTGATTCATGTTCAAGAAAGAGTCGTACGCAAATCTTTTGAATGAATCATGGTCGTTGTGTCCGTCTTAGTGAATTTGGGTTTGTCCTTGATAAATATTCCTTTGATAGCGGATAAAATATCTGGGTTTTTCATGGTGAGAAGTCAATGTAGAACCCGGACATGCTTAACAGAATAAGTCGTTAGCATCATTATCATAATGATAATACTATGCCGTTGCTGTAACCGGTACATCTATCGAGACAGGTTAGCAATAAAAAGGACAGTCAATGGCTCCTCTGAAAACTGCGGATGAACATTTATCGTTACTATACAACTAGTCCAAAATCTCAACGAATATGGATTTGATGCTAGATAGTAGTTCTGATGTTCAGTGTGCCTCATTTAAGATTTCCAACGTGTAACTATTTTTTGACGTTTAAGTTTTTGTGCTATTCACGAAGCTGGTAGTGTTTATTTGTTATTGGTATAATTTGAAGCAGCGACCGTATGAAAATAGGGATTAGTAGTCAATCGCCTATGCCAAAATACTAAAATGGGTACTGCCTGGCGAAACATTGTTACTAGGGGCCTTTTGAAAGATGTTTGCGTCTTACAAACTCATATTTGAACAACCAGTATCTAGTTATAAGTGATAAGTTAATACTACCACATACCAGATACAATGACTTCAGTCTATCGTTGTTATTTGAATGTTTTTCCTGAGGATCGAATTTAATGAACCTTATACTGAGTCGCTACTCTTTCTTTGAGCATCGGGCGACCCATGTTAAAAATTTTTCGTTGACGTTCAGTTTTCGCGTCAACCCTTTCAATATGGTCTCAATAGATTTGGCTACATAAGCTTAAGATACTGCCGAACCTTGCCCTCGTAGGGCAACCAGATTGCCTTCTATGTCAGAGGGGTGGAGAGCCAGGTTTGTTTTGAAAGATTGTATTACAGGGTGATAGCGGGGAGAATGTAAAACAATCTGTTTCATACATTCGATGAAAGGCGTTTGGGACGGCTCGCTGCCTTAATTTATAAATAGTTCTTTCCTAACGCAGTATTGCGTACCGTGGTCAACACTATAAGTTATTACATTAGTATGGATAAGTGGTGCGAATCTGCCTGTTAAGGACGAGGTGCTAATAAGACTGCTTTAATCTGCGTTCGTGTGTACGGATATGTGCTGTAACATTCCATTGAATACTGAGAATATCTGTACTATGCAATAGCAAAAAAACGCACGCAAGGTGCATCCGCTTAAAACTGGTATTTTGGTAAACTCAGTTGGTAAGTCTCCTAGCTGCGCGTTTACCATTATTATTATTATTATAGATATGTTTATGCAACTGCACAACTGGCTGTCTTAATGAAGACGTACTAGTAAGCTCGATTAGGTACGCGTTTTCCATGTGCAACAATATTGAAACGGGCTACGTTTGCCAAGGATGTATGGATTGATGAGCACGCTGAAAGTTAACTAAAGGGAAGAAAATTCGCGCTTTGTAATAAGAGATCGGTTGCAACTTGAAAAATACCGAAGCAATAATACAGTTTCTGAAGATCTTTGCGTATTGTTTTATTAACAGATCTGTCATAATCTACGCTCCGTGGGACGGTTTGACGGCTCGTAGTTCTCACCTATTTTATGACAGTATGCGTGCAATAAACGTAGAAGTCGCACTGTAGCACATTATTTTCCGTTGTATGCCTGGGGCGGTCGCATTTAAATTCTCATAAACTTTGGCAGCATGCGTTTATCCGCTATTTCTGGCACTAGAAGAAAGCTAATCCTCGTTAGAACGAGTAACACGCTCAAGAAAAAAAAATGCATCATCTTCTTAATTTAAGCAAAAGGATCGGCTATTATTCAATCATTTTCCGCTCAGCGAATTAGAAGCTTTAATACCTGAACTATGACGGCCTATGTCAGTGCAAGTCTTCATGCGGTACCTAAAGAATCCAAGAAAACTTTCATAAGGCGAATTAACTGAATTTAGATTTAGAGGGCTAAGAAATTTATAAAAATGGCTGAAGAAAACATTTTTGATACACCTGGACTCTTTATATAGTAGCCTTTTAGGGAACAGAAGACTAGTTGCATATGCGCGGGTACTTAGAAGTTATTTGCGGATTGAAGAAGGAATATATTGAAAAAATACAGTGGATGGTTTAGCTTCCGAATTGGAGATGTAGTTCTAATTTCTCGCTTTGTCTATACAAAGTGGGTCGCAGACGTTGTTTATATATACGAGCTGGTGAGGCGCGTGATTCTCGAGGAACATGCAAATCGAGGCCTTGTATGTGATTAACAAGCGCAGAGAAAGCCTTGGTTCTTTTCCGCTGGGTTGCACTTTAAAGACAGGAGCTGGTAGGCTTTGTTAAAGGTTTAAAGAGGCGCTACAAGAAACGTTGTTAATTTGAAATCGTTACTCCTGACAGAGATAATTAATACTCACTTTATAAATTAACTAATGTTAAGTCTCCAAATCTAGATCTAGGTGTTTGAAAACATATGAAAGCCATCTGTTACATTTTGAATCAATTTTAAAAGAAAATACATCTTAATATTCATATATAAATAGGCTTTGATTATATGTAAATATCGCCTACAGCTCACATGGTTAGCTCACTGTTGTGACTTAGCATCCAAAGATGTGATCTATATTGTATTTGAATGACGCAGACCAGGAGTGCCGTTGGATTTCGTGACCCTGCCCTCAGCGTATAATCGATCTCGCACGATAGGTACTGTCGCCCAAATATGAACCCTTGAAGACAAAATGCAGCGTTTCACCAGCATGAATTACGTCGATTATTCTTCGTCCAATCCATCTAAACAAGTAGGCGTGCGATTTTCAACATGTGCGATGAGTGTAGAGCCGCCATTCGTAAACTACTTCAAGAGCAGGGGTCCCGCATCACAACCAAGCCTAAACTAGGCCTTGCTGAACGTTCCGGCTATACTTGTCATTCGCTGACAGCCTCTAACTTGAGTTTCGCGTCCTGGCTTACGATGATCGGATGCGAGCGGACACACGGCGGCGGTGCTTCGTTGTGGCACTGTTCTATTCCTATCAAACCGTTACCCAAAACAGGTTTATTCTGGTCTATCTGTGATCCCCTGTAACACTGAGCGCTCAGAAAACATCCGAAACCTACCGGATTTTATGCAAGCGAGCGATGCAAATGGGTGCGATGGAGCGAAAGGAGAAACAGCAAGCCCTGGTGATTTACACAATTTTCAACGCAGGGTATGCGTTTTTAGGTGTTTCTATATGATGGGCACAGGGTAAATATTCGCCATTTTGCCTAATATTCGATTTTTGCATTATACAGTATATAGCTTTTTACGGTTGCGAAATAAAAACAATATAAATTATCTACTGCTTTAAAGGGGTCATATTGATGATTCCGAATAGAAGTGTCGATTTCTCACAATTTTATCACTTATTTATTTTTCTTACAGATGAAACATCAACTATCAATTTCGACAGAGACCAGATATTTGTCCTGGTGAAGGAGATTGTTCACGCATATCCATTCTTAGATTATCCTGATGAGCTAGAGGACCTGCTACGGAGGGAAACTGGTTCTAACCCGTGGGGCTCATGTACCTCGGACGATTTTCTTTTTGATCTTGTTGATCACGTGCCGATGATTGTCTACTCAGACGGATCGGGCAGAACCAGACCGTGCCCCCATCTAAATGACGACATCAATAACAATCTGAATGACACTGGCGTGGATAGCGCTCGCGGAACAGTTTATGAGGGATACAGTCGAAACAATAACAATGCATCGTTTTGTACAAATGCTCCAAACATTGAGGAGAGTCTTGTCCTTGTGAGCTGTGCATCCTCCTTCGAACCTTTCAGCTCCTTTCCCAGTCCTTTGAGATCGATTTTCGATGCCGAACGATAACGATATTTAAGTCTTCTTGAAGTTCTCGAGATGTTTATTGAACGAAATCGACGTAATGCAGAAATATCTGCTACTGCAAGTAAACTCTTCAGCACTAGACCAGAGCAGATATTTGTCACACATGCCAGACTGAGAAATATGCTGACCAAGTCAGAAAATGAATACATAGAGAGTTCGATTGCGAAGAGCGTCACCAGAATCAGTACAATATCTGATAGCGATTCGCCGAAGCAGGAGTAATTAAAGAGTTTTCAGCGACGCGACGAAGCCTCAATGTACACTATGAAGCAAATGTACACGTTCTTCTTAGGGCGGGTGCTCTCATAATTATTAACTGTAGCATTTTCTCTCGGGGTCAAAGCGAACGCTTATTGTGTTACTCGTTGTCACGCAAGCGACGTTCAGTCTGACTAAGTATCATTTGGGGTGCTCAGTGTCGTCACTGCATTCCACAAATTACGTCCGTTACTGCGTTTGCGCATACCCAGAATAAAACAGAGCGCGTACTTATCGGCATCACATTTCGAACCTAGCCCAGCTCACCTTAGATGAAAGTAAACACTTTACTTTTACGCTATTACGGGGACTCTCATTGATCCAGCGAATTTGATCAACTCGGGTATGGACTTCATGACCATACATCCAGATACAGGAGGATAAGTGCGCGCTGGGCAACTGTAAAATGGCCTAGTTTTCGCACAAAAAACCACTCAGCTCTCGCTTCAGGAAAAATAGACGGAGCAGTGGGGATCATTTTGGGTACTATACTTGAGTAGTTCTAAAAACAAGATGCTTCCCGCGGTTCACATCCGATAGCTTGGATATTGAGCATGACTTGGTAGAGTAATGTTTAAGTAAGCTGACGGTCAGATCCTTCCTCAACCATTTCTCCACCGGCAAATGATTCGAATTCAGTATGTACGTGCCGTCCAATTAAAATACGCAATTTAATTAACATTAGAATCGCTAGATAGATACATTTGGTGATCTAGAAATTACTGAATTTCTTTCTATGTGCGTGATGATTGCGCATTCTGTAAAAAAAACATCATTTACCGAATATGCACCGAAAATTCGAACCTTCTAAGGAAATCCTGTCCTACTGCCAGAAGTCTCTGCATCTAATCTCTCGATGTAGCTCGTTCTGTTCGATAAATCAGGTGGCGGAGTGAACCTGGATTTGGAATTATGCTGAAGTGTTTCACACCGTTTGCACTTATTCGGATAGTGCTTTGTGCTTTCTCCAAGTGGAACACGCAACTAACAAAATTACTTCGTTCTACAGTAGATTACAGGCGGCCCTTTAAATTAATGACGAGGTCACCATATTTCGCTAACAAAAATCTATTTCACGCATAAGTGAATACCCCTTTGTACCTGCGCGTCAATATCCAATGCATAGACAGGAATTAGTGTACCTAAGGAGTAAAGGTGACTAACAAAGGTAAAAATAGCTAACTAAAACCAAATAGATTCAATTTTAGAAGGGGTTTTTGTTTTGATGTTGGACCTACTAAAAAGAGAGAACTACTTATGAGCGAGCTTTGGTCGATGAAAGATTAGAGTACATAGTAATATCATAGTGTAGTTTACGAAAGATAAAAAATATACCAGGTTCAGCTCTAAACTCGCTTAGCTTGCTTCAGCAACTATCGCGGCCAATCTAACTGCCTCCGGTATTTAAGTAAGCATCAAATAAATTTAATACGTAGCAGTAGACCAGTGCTCGGGATATCAGTACTCTGGATTATGATTGTTTTGAATTTACTCCGTTATACAGGATGCCCAGTATCAAAAAAAGTTACTGGTATTATAGCTTATACGGATTGGTTTCCCAAATTGAAAAAGCCAAAACTTGCTCGCCTAACTTCCGGCATGTGAACGCATATAGAGAAAATAAACGTACGTACTTTTAAAGCTTTCCAGCACTAGGTCTGTTTCACTCATGTAAAAACATCTTTGCCGATGAAATCATTACCTAATCCGGTTGTCAAAAATGTCAAAAAAAAAAAGAAAACAAAGTACACTGCTCTGAACGGGAAAGAACCAGCGATTAGCGATGTAAAGAAACTCTTCGAATAACAATTAGATTACGTGGCAAATATGAATCAAGGCTGCCGCTACTCCTCGATGATCCGTTTCGTTGGCGTGGCCGTTTCTAAAGGCGGGTGTCGTCAGACCCTGCGACTGAGGCCACGTACAGCCAGCGAAAAACGAAAACTCGTCCACCCTCCCGTGTCTTTATAAAACGAACGCAGAATAGAACCAGCCAGTTTATCCTACTGTTGGTAAAGGGTGAGGGCGATCTAATGACATCATTAGCTTCAATAACATAATGAGTTCGTTCCTAAGCAAGTTCTAAAAATAACACATTGGAAAGCCTTGACGATTTTACTGCTATTGCTGCCGGGGGTGCTACGACTACGCATGCTTGCAGGCCTCTCTGACGACCATTCTTTTGTACTATATTTAGAAAAATTTCCATTCGCGCAGTGAAGAGACTCCATAGACCCTGCGCGGACGCTGTGGCCTGTAGCAGAACTCAGATTTGGTGCGTGTAAGAATGTAGGATTGCGTCAGCGAATGTCCAAGCGTCCCTATGCTAAAAATAACGCTTGATAGCTCGTTTGATACACTGTTATATTGTTATAGTTGATATATATGGAAAAGTGTTGGCTCAAAGTGCTGAGCAAGAAGAATTCGTAGGCTAAGACCTAAGCCTGTGTCACTATTAGACATAGTCGATAAGCAACGACTTGCCTTGTTTTCACGTATACCAAAACAAGAACGATAACGGCACGTCTTAGTAAAATCAGTGATAATTAGTAGTAACAACTAAATTATGAGTTTTCGCCCCGACGTCCTTATAGAAGAATATATAACAGAAGGGACTACTTCGTAACAAATGAACGCATTCTATTTTCTTTATAAATATTATAATTATACGTGAGCCTGTTACTCTAACAAAATTTATCTTAATTTAATTTTATTTTTTATTTATTTATTTATTTATTTTTATTTATTTAATTTGAAATGATGTAATTGTATCCAGTATTTTCGTATGTTTATGTAAAATCAGTTTGGTAAGATCATTATTAAATTTTGTTATTTTCAATAGATGTTATTACTATTATTGTTATTATAAAGAATAGATTAGCCAACCAAAGAGATGGTTGCATTTTAAGGCTTTACTAATGGAGAAGAATAAAATGGCAAAATAGTACCTTCTGGCCGTTCGTCGAGCCCACAATTTACTGCCTAGGATCATTTAGATAACCAAACGTGAAGGCTGTGACAATGTTTATTCGGAATATAACAGATTCCAGGTATATATATATTCCTTGTTGTTAGTAAGTGTTTTTTGGTAATATAGGTTCTAATTGTACCTTTTATTGTATGCCCTAGTATTGTCTTTCTTTGGTCTTTCTAAATAATTGAAATATAAAACATATTTCTTTTTATTTTTTTATTTATTCTTTTTATTTATTTATCCACAATCGAATTTGCCCTAAATCAATAATTTCCTTTTATCTAGTAAAATTTGGCTTAATCTTCTCTATGGACGTGACAGCATGTTTGACCTGAATAGACCTGAAACAAGAAAATCCGCTGGCACTGAGCGACTGGCTATCTTGGCTATTATAGAGATCGATCACTGGTCTTTATCGTTCTTCCATCCCCTTCGACGCCTCGTACGCGGGTCCAAAAGTTGGAACAAAGTTCTGGCTTCAAGCGCTCAACGGCGAAGTGCCATTGCAAACATGGAGCAGTTAGATTATCGGTCACGGTTTCCAACGCCACCATGTACATTCACTCAATTTGAGAACACCTGTATATAGAATTGCTCCACAGGTAGGTAAGTAACGCATCTGCTCGCCTTTGAAATGGTCTGCAGTCAGGGAAAAGATATTTGCCAGCTCAGGATTAAATTACATTAGAGGTACCCAGTAGCGACGGCCAATGATGGGGGACAGAGGTGCACACGGAAGGGAGAGCCGGATAAAACCGTGGTTCCTCAGCTCAATGCCCTACCTGACGTTCTACTGAAACTTCTTCTGCTGTTATATATCAGAAATACGTTGACTAGGCATAGGATCCATCCTTACCAACGATGAACTTAGAGTCGATTTTGCAAGGTTAGCTCGCAGGCTGGCCGACCTATAGAGTCAAAAAAGCTTTTGCTTTTCGTCGATCTTTTTCAAGTACCACTTTGCTTTTAGCAAGGTCGGTAAGCAGGCCAGAACTGAGTAGTATTTACGGAAAGGGAGGTTGAGAGGTAGCAAAAAGCTAAACTGCACCAAGTAACAGAGGTAAGTTTGACTTAAGAGCAGTACGCCGTCCATACCGCGACAAAAATAACTTTGGAACAACTCTGTTGTTTGTCTGAAATACTTGCAATCAAATAGACAGGTTTATGGGAGAGTCTTTGTGCTGAACGTAAAACTTCTCAAGGAGCAACGAGGCTGGTTAACTCTAACCCATCCTCAACAACGACCAGCGAGTAGATCATACAGCTGTGTCCTTAATGCTAAAAGACAGATAAATTTCTTAGGTAAGATGGGGGGGAAGTGAAGTCGGCGAGATAAGGAAATATAGCGAAAAGAAACAAGCTTTTATGGAAGGATCTTCAAAAACAGCGGGGGATAGCCAGCTTATTGGACACGGAAAAGCAATCGATCAGAAACCGACGTCGAGAGCAGCAACAGAAGAAAAAATGGCTGAAATCGACTACACACACAGACAGACGCACACAGATACACTGGATAAAAACATAAGCAGTGGGTCCAACAAAAAGAGCCCAATCAGGGGACGTTGACCAGCTACGCTTTTGAAGAAAATGAATCGATGGTTAAACCTGCTGGCGGCGTTCGTCCGTTTAGCGTCAGTCCATCTCATAAGAGATCGTGCTACATACTGGAGAAATATTTGCCGAGAACCCAAACATCCGTGAAAATTTCTGCACGGACGACTAGGACGTAGTATGTGAACTTTTAGTCATGCGCATTTCAACTTGGCCTAAACTGTAGAAGTAGTTAAAAGTCGCAAAGAGGAGACATTCGTCTCATGAAATGAACTGTGCGATTGAAGAATAGACTCAGCTTGTAAGCTAATGCAATGTACTGGAAATAGGTACTATAAATAGATTTAAGAGAGGATCACCATAAGGTTTCTCTGTATAGAAGTGTAATCTCTTTGAAAATACAAATTAGTGAGTGGAATAGATATGAATCAATGAAATAATGGTGACATTTCGATATATCAGAGGTGCGTATCTGTTCCGTTCTTCTTTTCGCCCACCATGTAATATTTTTTTTCACAAAGAATCAACTGTAAAGAGCCTTATATACTAACCTTAGGCTTCACAGTTACAGTCCGAGATTGCAGGATTTGCACCTGGTGCACCCTAATTAACTATTCCTCTTACCCAATTTCCATTGGCACCGTCCCTGTATGACTGATGTGAGCATAACAATTGATAATGCAATTATATAATCATGCTAATAACAACAACACAATATGTTGAATTATTACATCTAATGTGGTCACACATGGCCGACGACCAAGTGAAGGTAGAACTGGGAATTTTTGCAGCTTTGGATATTCCTAGCCAAATAGCTACGAGCAGGCAAGCAGTGCCACAAGCTGACAAATAATTATATTACAGTAAAAGAAGCTATATGCTGACTAGCGCCAGTTTTCGCCGCTACTTTCTTTCGACGAAGTACAATTTCGTCTTTCCATTACTTCAGTAGACATCTGGAGTGCTGAGAGCGCATCTGCGATTCTTCACATACGCCAAACGGGCCTAAAAGCTTACTAAGCAGAATCCCCGTTATCCCTAGTAATTCGTCTCTGTCAGATGAAAGTCGGTGACTACCAATAGCATATATACTGATATCTTTAAAGGTCGCTGTATTGGGGAAAAAGGGCTTCCAAATTTCATTTCGTTTATTGCTACCATCATCTGTAAACGAACATTCGTCTTCACTGTTAGAAAACCAATCAAATAAACAAGCAGAAAGGTTTGATAGCTCTTGTCTTACCTAATTAAGCTCGGCCACATAGAAAAACTTCGTCCAAGGATTGTCCCTTATATGGATTCATTTTTATGAAGTGTCTGCCTTGTTGCGTGAGAGTTGAGCTTTTTTCACCATTATTTAGCATCACCGTAACGACAAAAACAACAGCTAGGTTAGATTACCAATTGCACTAATGGTGGCGATTGGATTATTTCAATATGATAGCATATAATGGCACCTTGTTCCCTATAATTCTATAAGCCTTACGTTTCTTTCCCAGTCTTTATGAGATGCACAGAGACATCGCGCCAAATGAAAGGAAGAAAAATAGTTTTTTTTTTTTTAAATTGCTTGAGTAGTAACAGATAATAACCAATGCACAAACTCCACATAGAAAATGAGGCAAGAGCCAGCCCATCGTGGACCACGTCCATCGTCTACATCAGTGGTAAGGTGTGCCTATCGAGGAATTTAGACTAAACGAAAGCGCCTTAGACAAAAACTCCGCTACTGATAAAGATGATCGACGTTAAACAGCGTCGAACGAACAATCTCTGTCTTGGAAAAAGGATGGGATTTTGACGGGTTCTACCTGTCCGGTTCTTGCCACGATGGAGGTGGCTTTCGGTCACTTAAACCGTTCAGAAAGAGAGTCACTGTGGACCGACGTAGCTTTTTGTGTGGGCTCGCAAGCCGTCCGTCTGCATTTGCGTGTCGACGACTCGTGGCCTCAGAGAGAAACAGCCGCAAACGGTGAGATATGTGCTGGCGCAAATAGACGACCACTTACTGCTGGTCTTCGTATCTCGTATTGGTATTCTCAGAAAAAAGGCAACGAAGTTGCTCTGAGTGATGGGGCACGCTAGGAGAGCAAAAAGCATGTTGAACTGACAGGACTCTTAAAGAAGAGTCATTGATGAACGAGCTGTCGACTAGCATTGACAGAAGTGTGCGCAGGCACTTACGACAAACAAACTACTAGGGCTAGTTGAGTCACCGATCTGCCGAGAGGAATCGTCTACAGTTAGGTGAACGTAAGAATCAGGCGACTCTACAGGGAAGGGATAGGTCGTAAGCTTACGGTGGAAGAAACGCTCATTTGCCAAGCAAGCGAATCTCACAGAACCGCTTGACAGCCAGACGATAGAAACCCCGATGGAGGCCACGCCTATTCGTGGCTGGAGTAGTAATCGCTCCTAATAGACATTCGGGTGACGAACCTAATGATACTATGCTGAATATGATGAGTATTATTGTCATTATGATAAGTATTTTTCTAAGGAAACCCCTCTAGCTACGCTTATTTGGTTGAGACATAGAGGCATGGCGACAGCAGCCGAAGGGGTCTGGTAAGGCTGGAACGGAGCCCGCATTAACAGGCCAGATTAGTTGTTATTCCGTTGACTCTAACAATGATGACGATGGCGACTGGCGCAGTGATGCAAATGACAATATCACATTGTGGAGGGTCCTTTGTATTTCTATTAGGATAGAAATAAGCAAGAAACGTTCATTGGTGCAGCTGTCCACTAAGGGAATAAATATCCGTAATACTTTTACATTAAACACCTAAAAGTAACACGTATACGTACTATGAAATGACGTAAAGAAATTATTTTTAGATTAATGTAGCAATATACGAAAAGATTTTTCCCTACGTTCTATCGTTTTTTTTTTTTATATGTTTCAATAGAAATACGAAAATAGGTGGGGGAATCTTATCGGCTTTATTTGTTGTTTACATTCAGATGCGCTTGAAGATCATTCGGCTGCTACTGATGTTTGGCTTTGACTTTTGTAGATGTTATGGAGGTCCCTTTTTGGGCCTACTTCGTTACGGAGAAGGCTTTTGCTGTTGTATCGTTGGTGATAACTGGAATAATCAGGAATCCGTTTCTATTACCATATCTGATATAGATCGTAGCTAATAAACTGCGATAAAGCTGTAAGAAGCCAGCTGAAAGATGACGATGTCGCTTAGAACGTAGACTGGCTTCATTCATTCATTTATATGGCCAATAAGTCAGGCATATAATGCCAAGAGAACAAAAGAGAAATCACTTGTCAATGCATAAGTGATACAAGTTTTCGGTACAACAATAATCAAGATAAACAATTGAACAGCAGACAAAAATTAACTGACTATCCTTTGGACGGGCTTTTGAAAAAATAACGAATATACAACCATAGTTTAGTGGGGGGTTAGAATTTGAGGTGTTTCTAAACAAATGATTTATTGATAATTTTAAAGACGGGTGAATTCTTGCTTATCTGGAATTATTGGGCACGGCGCTTATTATTAAGTCACAATTATGAACAGTCTCTTGGCCTGATGCTTAAAATGAAGAACAGAAAAGTTGTATTGAAGTACGCTGCAGCACAGAGAAGCCTGCAGTAGGCTTGCCAATTATTCGATATTATTATACACATATATTGTATACTGTGTATTGTAGCAGCGTAGTTATATAATAATATATATATATATATATTATTATATAACTACGCTGCTACAATACACAGTATATGTTCAATGTCCCTAACGTATCAATTTGGTTTAGTATTTGTTATGATAAGCTTGTAGGAGTAAGTTAAGTTTTTAGGGTTTCTGCTTGTGTCTACATGCGAGTTTAATGAGTACCCTTTTCGCAGGGAACGATACTCAGTTCTCTTTATTGTCTAAATCATATCTATAATGAAATACAATGGCTTGTCTGCCGATAATTCTCGGATGTGTCGCGATACTGTAAGTTTTTTAATATTAAATTAATTTTGATTTTTCTCGCCATTTTCAGTTCTCTGGCTTTTCCCATCATTTGGAATAGCTTATTTTAGTAGTCTTCGTGATGAGTGTCAAAGTTTTTTCGTACTGCTCGGATTTGAAGAACTACAAATACGAAACGAGTTCTATGTGAGCTTGATGGTCGAAAATAGGTTTATCTAGAAGCGACTGTCTTGAAGGGAACAGCAATGATTGAAAAAGTTTTTTTTGCCCTAGTTCAGGCTCATCTCAAATTGTCCCATCTTGTGCTTTTTGTGTTCGGATTATCAATGGCTTCAGATTTCACAGCACGACCGCGGGAAACCTTCAGCCAGCTTCTCGAAACGGGGGAGCGCATCTCGACGTTGACGTTAAACGAAATTTTATTTTGATAACAAGGACGTCTGGGGCGATAAAGGACGCTGAGTGTCGCGATAAATAAGCGAGTTTATTTTGAAGGCGGATATTTCTTTTTACATCGGCTTGATTCCAGGCCTCGTTGGAGTGTTAGAGTGGCCTGATTTTACTATTCTCCTAATTATGAAATATTACCATTTTCATTGACTATGGCCATAAAGCGACTGTTGAAAGAAAAAAGTCGACTTAATTAACCGCTTCCTTGACATGCTTCGTTACTTCTCGTAACCTTCTCGAGAATTCTTTGTATGCTGCTTATCTGGGGTTATTTTGCATTCGGGTAAACGGCTGATGAGCCTCCAGAATCTACTGACTATTATGAAAATTGGCGAAGATCACAATAAAACTATGCACTCCAATAACAAATTAGGATATAAACATAATTTGTAACGGAATATTGCTGAGACTGTTCCAACAATTTGTTTGCACGGGCACAGCTAACATCCTAATCTGTCCTTTATTCTCGAATCCGTACCACAATAAGTACCGCTTCCGTGGTTCAGACTTCAGATCTTGCCTTTTTTTTTTTTATCTGTTCGTCTTTCGTTCCTAATTTTCGTTTATTTTTTTCTCTTCTGTCGAGACTTTTCCACGGCGACGAAGTTTGGCGGACGTGCGTTCACAATAGACAATCAGATGAATGTTAGCAGATCTTGTCTGGCGAACGACAACGTTCCAGTCAATGCTATAGCACGAACAGGAACTCTTTCTCCATCTCCAGGAAAACGTTCTCAAGCGTCCTTTCTCATCCTGTTGTAGAGAAAGACATAGTGAAAAGGTAGCTCTCTCTCTCACTCTTTATATATATATATTCAATCATCATATCACCTTCTAGATGCTGTCGTTTGTGTTACTGTCGCTACCGCAGCGGATACAAACCATCACCGTTCGTCGGCTTCTTTTTCGCTCAGTTCGAATTCGCGTCTGTATAGAGGGGTGGTGACATTTCGTTGACACTGGTGAGGCAAGATCAGCAACTGTTTGTGTTGTGTCGTTGATGCCTCCGGATACGTCTGCGCTTAATGTTTACACGATGTCCGCTACTCTCGGCTTGCTTGTCGGTTTGTTTAATTATTTTTATGTCAACGTATAACTGATATATATATATATATATATATATATTTAGGTACAAAGGAATCAAGAAAAAAAGTTTTAACGAAACTGTCATCTTTGAATGATTGCATCGAATTCTATGCAGGGTTGGACAACTCAGGGTACTAATACTATTTGACGTTTTCGGCTCTGTCGATCTTGCACGGCGCCACATGGTAAGGCAGAGGATGTTTTACTAGGTCTCCTTATCGACGGCAGCTGCCATTTCCTAGCAGGCCAAGTGAGCAGTGAAGCTCAATCTACAGACAGTCAGTGTGTGCAGAACTGTGTCTGGAATGTGTGGAAAATAGAAAAAAAACTACTAGAATTAAGAAATCTGTGTGGCACTCTTATATCTGTCCTGAGGGTTCTCTTCTGCCATAGCAATGACTGCGGAAGAACACTGCTGGGATACTGTTTTCCGAAGTGGAAACAAAGAAAGAAGGTAGTAGCAGGAATTCCGTCCGTAGAAACTGTACCCCCTGTGACACCGCTGTCCCTCTCCGTCTCTATCTGCTTTCCTATGTCAGAAGGGACAAACAAGCGGCTCATGCCCGGCCTCCTCTGGCCACAGCCGTCCATTCCATGCGAGAATGTGTTTCGCGGAAGCAAGGGACAAATAGGTAGGCCATCTGGCCGAGCGACGGGACCCTTCACCACTCCTCGAAATTGGATTCGAGTCCATTGGCAGCGTGAAAACACTGACTTTTCAATGCCGACCCATAGGTAAGAGTCGAAAGAGCATAGAAAAGAAAAAATCGTGAGAAGCGTTCGAAAAGTCGCCACTGGCTGATTGTGCGTCGGTTATGACGTTTAGCGCTCAACGACGACGATGATGATGGTGTGGCAGTATACTGAAAGAAAAGCAAGAGGGCTAAAAGGGGGAGTTGGTAGTAAGAGGATAAGGTAAAGGATTGGGGAGAGGGGAACGTGCCGGGGAAAGTGGAATTGTCACTCTCTGTGTGTGTATATCTCTCTCTCTTTCTCTCTTTTATAGAGAAAGTGTCACATTAGCTATGTGTTGTTTACATTTGTAGAATACACGTGCTGGTTATAACGTGCAACTGCAATAAGGTTTGCAAAGGCTATTCGCAAAGGTGCTTATTCGACGTGCTCTTCATTCCTAAGGACTGATTGCCGCGTTTGGAAAACACTGGTACAGGTTCACGTACGCGCGTAACAGGCTCTAGTCCTCTTGGTAGGATTGGATATCGAATACTGTTGATAGTCGGGGTGTAATGATGATTCTTGTTTTTTTTTCCGTTTTCTTTGCGTCTCTTGGCTTAATTGACAAACTGCGCAAAACATTGTTTACCTTTTAGGTCACGTTTCTGGTTTGCTTCTCGGAGACCTGGACGCTAATAAAGAACGTATAGGTACATGAACATGCTGGATGCCGAGGCAATAAGGACGTTTTTTCATACTTTTGACAAAAAATACTCTGAAATAGGGCGTAACGCTGCAATCTTGATCGCACGCTATGTCAGTAACGCTTTATGGTAGCTTATTGTTTACATTTTCAGCGGCGTATTACATAGACGTTCTGTATTAACAGGTTATGTACAATAATTGTATGCTAGATTTGCACCACGAATAGGCACTGTTTGTGAGCATATAGTTTGTGGTTCCTTGTTTACGCCATTCAGTGTAAATAGATTCTGCTGCAGACGACTGACAATGCAATTCTGCGGTATGGAAATTTTAGCAGCAAACCCTATGCCGATTTGGGCCAGGTACTTATGAAGTTAATTAGTGCATAAATGTTCGCAAGCATAAACAGCATCCACAATAATGAGTCTTGCTAGGCAGCGGTGTAGGCCTCGCATTTTCGCCGACTGTATAATATAAGTATATATAATAAGAGCCTACAGCTCATCAGGGACACCCTGCTCGGCATACTCGAGCGCACGAAATGAAAACGACATGTTGCCAAAAGAAAGTCTTGCACTAAATGTCTTCGCGGTGTATTTGGGATGCATCTTGCATACACTGAAGAATTAGACGAGAACCAAACTTCAGTGGTTCGCAATGTATGTGATAAAAGGATGTTTCGATCACTTTTTTGATACATTTCATTTAACATGATTTAATTGTGTTGTAGAAAAAACCATCCACGCATCATGCATGAACTACATAAATAAAGTGATGATTACAAAAATTTGTTGCATCGAAGTACTATAGTTAGCTATCGAAAGCGAACTCTTGCCTGGTTTTCTTTGTGGAACGCCATAAACTAATGGGCACCTTGGGGACCGATTGGTCCTTGTCAAGTATACGCTTTATTCATTGTTGAATGAAAAATATATTACGTCGTACCCACACATAAGTCGACATTGCGGCGTGCATTAAACATAAAAAACACGTAAATAAATTTGACTAAGCTGTCCAACTATCTTTGTATGTTGAACTCAAAACATTCTGGGTTTTTGGGTCCGGTATTTAATCCATTGGACATTTTATTGGTTGGTAGATCCCACTAGTACGAAGCGACGTGTGCTTCCGGCTGGATTTGAGCTCGAGCCACACAGGCTCCTCACGTTTAACACGCTGCCCACTACGCCTTTACAGGGACATGTTTTATACTTATCATTTATGGGGTGATCATGATCTATACGTTGAACGTGCATGGAGTGGCTACGAGCAGACCCTGATAAACAATTTTATATGAAAGCCAATTACTTGTTTAAGTCGAAGATGATCAATATAAATATGCCGATTTTTCTCCGTTGCGTGCCCTGAACGAAGCGATGTTGGATTCAACTCATTTCAACTACGTATTGCATGTACGATTGCTCGTCTATTCGATCTTTTTTTTTTTTTGTAAAAACCGCATCGTTTCGTGCTGATGCGAGCTGCTAGCGAGCTGAAACAATGCTTAACTGAAACAGTGCAGGACCTAAAATTCGAAATATTGATTTAGCATTAAGTGTAAACTGGTCTCTATCCTTTTTTTTTTTTGTTTTTCACCAACTTATTCCTTCCAATATTCTAGTCGACGGATTCATGGGAAAATGCATTTATTTCTTCTATTTATTTCTCACTCACCTGCGTCATTCTAACACGCGCGATCAAGTTAGAGCTTCAATCGCAGCAGGCGAAGCTGCTATGGCAGGACGAGCAATGCGATAGAGGCTGCAGTAATTGTAACGACCAGCTCGTAATTCTCTTAGCTTTCTTCTGCGGTCCGAAAAAAGGCTTTGATTGAGCTAAGGTTCACCTGTTGGCCAGCACCAACCTTTACACACGTCCATTTCTTTCTTCATCCGTTTCCCCTTCCTCTATTCTCGTTTCTTTTCGTCTTCTAGCAGTGCATCCGTAAGTACAGCCCGTCACCCTCCAATATTTTACGATGTCACTTTTGTTCCAACTACACTTGTTGTGGTCGTAGTAGTAGTAGTAGCAGTATTTGCGAGTCGAACGAACGATGGAGGTTTAAGCTATCAAGCTTGTTTCGGCTAAGCCATTCAGCTATGACGCATCCATATAGCTTGACGCCTTATCATGCCACTACTGGTTTTGTTCGCATATATATATGTATACACGTTACGAGTCCAAATATATATGACAGCAAAGCACGTAGAGGATTGTACTCTCGTCATTGGCCGATTTTGTTTGCCTATTTGGCCATCCGACGTTCGCTTTTTTCCTATCCCGTTTCGCCATGTACCCACTTACATAGCATGCTCATGGTAACTGATCGACTGGTGGCAGTACAGAAAAAGAAATAAAACATGGCAAAACAGGAACAGAGGCGACAGACCCCCGCTCACAACCAACTGAAGGTAACGCGAGTGGTCATGAAACGACAGTCAACGAACGAAGCTTGGTATTAGGCATTGGCCTTCTAGGACCCCCATTTCACAACCTCCTAGAGCCGCCTTTCCTATCTTGCTCTCATGCTGTGGACAACCAATGAAACCGGTTTTAGGTGCAGTTTATGCGGAAGAGAGAGACACCTCCTTAGAAACCAGAACTATCAAAGCGTGAAGGGCCCAGCGTGAAGCGCGGGATCAGTTCTTACTCGTTTGCCACAGCGGACCGCGTGGCTGATCGGTCAAATAGAATGGGACACGAGAAGATGAGATGATGGGGCAACTGTGAAGTGAACGGCGTCGGAAGAAAAAAAGGGTGGGTGGACAGATATGCTGCCGGGAGAGGGAGGTATTTTTAGCTGGCTAGTTAAGGCCAATCAAGCAGTTACGACGAGCGAGTCGAGAACCATGATCATGACGGTTGTCAAAGGGATACGGGTAATGTTGGTAGTACTGAGGCTGGTTTGACCTGACTTGGAGGACAGCGGTCATGGTAACGTACCGCAACCTCTAAGCGTTGTAGATTCCGGAGGTGTCGTCACACTTAATACCGTGTTGTGGTGATGTAAATCGAGATGCCTGTGCTATGGTCAAAACACCAGTCGCACCAATGCTACGCCGTACAATATCGAGTGAATACAGTGATGCTCGAAGCGTTTACATGGCCTTCGGTCCTGGTTGTGGTCTAGGCGCCTCCTTTCTTTCACATTTATTTGTAGATCCCAATGGAAGCACGAATGAAGTCGTGAGATGTCCCAGAGCCGTTCAAGGCAAGCACTCGTTCGGGGGTAAAGACCGAGAGCACTGAACCTTTCATCGTCGGACTTTTACTTCGGCTGCAGGTTTCTAGCTGGTTCGTTCAATAACGTTTTGATCACTCTGAAGGTCAAAATCCTTTTGGCATTCCTCTGTAGGATAGAGAGCCAATTCTGGAAACAGACACCATGATAAAATATGCCTGATCAGCATGAAAAACAATGGTTACTCGACGGCCTGTCTAATGCTTCTTCCATGAAATAAATCGATATCCATTCCATAAGACGATAACAGACAGCACTGGCTGAAGTAAAGTCGGATGATTTACAGAAATAAAGATGGATCACAAGGCAAAAATGATACAAAAAGACTAAGTTGGTTGTTATCGTTTATTTCTGGTCCACAAAGCTAACATCTATCAGAATTCGTCTTGATAATAGAAAAACTGCTTCCATAATGCGAGCTACTGTAAAAAGTCGTGTTAACTGGACTTACTGAATTTTGAACGAACAGCGGTATATGCGGTTTGTTTACTTACCACCAGTCCACCAGATGAGATGCCCTTAAAGAGCATTACTTAATGCGAAGTCGCATTGTGTCATACTCTTACAAAACAAATTCGACTGCAGTCAGTAGACGGCCATCTTGGCAGGGTAGAAACGACCACTTGCCCTGATCGGCGAGATAGTCAACACATGCTTTAGTTTCGTATAAAAAGCGACGACTATTGTATAATACAAAAGCAACTACAACGTGGCGAGTTTTGGGTGCCACACCAAGCCCCCCCACCGACAGCAATAGACGTACGTACGCCGTTTGCCCAAGGGAAAGTAACGAGAACGGCTTCCTGATAGTAAATAACTTTAGACGAGGCAATTTCGACCAGTTTTGTAAGTCGCGTAAGCTAGCATTGTCTTCGTGCATTTGCAATACATGCCATTCTGTGCCGCCACGAGAACACGCAGACTAATGCCAGTGGACCGACAAGAGAGTCGCTTCTTTTCTACCAAATTGGAGTGAACGTCCTTGAGATTTTTCGCAAAGCTCAGCTCAATCACTCTAAGTGATTTTGGTAGCGTAGGGCCGAATTGGATGGATGGTATATTTGTCATAATTCAGCATGTTCTTAGAGGCAAGGTGATAAACTAACCAGGAGTAAACAAATAGGACAGCCTCTTCAATCGGTCAGTGCTGCATTATATGAAAGCCGTTACTTCTATAAAATTAGGTCATAATATAGGTAGAAAAGAAAGAGACATTGTAAACATATAAAAGGAATGACTTAGGAGAGGTAAAGTTTTATTGTATAACCTATATGGGCTAATGTGGATGCAAGGGAATTATCGGTTGTGACTCGATATGCCAGTAGAATAAGACAATGCCCCAGCCGAAATTTGGATAAGGTTCGTTCATGCATTCATTTTGGATATAAGGCTAGCATGGTTCGTTATCAGGTACGGCTTATCGGGATATTTTGTGGACAATCATACATGTGGAGAAAAAATTTTCGCTTGGGCCGTCCAGATAGGCTTCAAAGTTTAGTTTTATGCGGCTTATTTCACCTTTTAAACTTTTTGACAACTATGAGCGCTTGCATTTATGGGGCTTTTGGCCAGCTATATACATAAAGACCTAAATATAAATTCCGTTGGATCTTTTATATGATGCGTATTTGAACGAGCTTACGGCGAGTTTAAGCTTGGCGATGTCGCTTGACGTAAGGTTACTATCTAATTTTTATTTGCGAATAAAAAAGAATAGGAACAAACTACGGGATGGTTGTAATCGATTGAGTGATCGGCGAGTCGTGTTGTACGCACATGATAGTTTTGGATGACATCTATAGCATACGTAAAAAGCAAATTTGTCGAAATAACGATTTTCATTTAGATACAGTTATAGACACAGAGATACACAAAAGATAATCCCAATGTAGGTGTCGTATCCTGTGTATGGCCACAACAAAAGTCTTGAAGTATATCCTTTCCTTCTAAGTATGAATATGCCACACTATCGAAATGTTGACACTGGAAAGCAGCGGCAGAGAGGTGAGTTGTATCAGCTAGAGAAGACTAACGTCCTCTATTACATGTTAAAACAGCCTCTAAAGGTTCCGAAGCTGTGTCCATATTTCAATGCTCTGACTGGACGCGTAAACTTCGGATGCTGTTTGTTTTTTTAGTCTTGTCAAGAAATAGGACTCGGTCCGTTGTCGCTTTTCCGGTCATTTAGGGAACAAGAGCCGCACTCGCTGCCGTTTTGGATTATGGCCTACTATATCAGAGCCTTTGCGCCTTGTGGTGCCAATGCTATCGAGACATCCATGTTCGTGACAACAAACGGCGATACACGAAGAACAGCGGCAAAAATGTCGTAAAATAAAACTGTTGACTTGCCTGAGAACGGTCAGACGAGGATCGGAAAATTGTAGACGGTGGGATTTTTGTACGAGGTAACAGCAGCAGACGATTGAATGCAAAATGCTATGAGCCCGATTTGGCCGACTAGTATCTACCTTCGTCTTTTGAAAGAAAAGAAGCTTTACTGTTTAGAAAAACTGACAAAAATAAATCTCTTTTTGCACCCGCTGATTTTTGCCATTCTCATTGCGTCAATAGGAAAGCTATTGCTTATTAAGTCGGAAAGAAGAATTTAATTGTTCATTTTTGAAAAACGTATTATCTTTGGCAATTTTTTCATCGAGGCTCTTCTTTCTTCTGGAGTTTCATACATAGTTCGTGAGCTTTTTTCCGTTCCGGCTTTCATGAGGTTACGCTAAGAACTAAGCAATTTCATGTTGGTTGTTTTAAGCTTTTTTTTTCTGTCTATAAACACAAATGCAGATATCTGTGATTGAACACTAGATTTATTTGTGGGCACAACTCAGTGTCGGCAGTCGAAAAAGGCTTCTAGCCTAACACAGCAACAACTAATCTTTTTTTTCCTATTAAGTACCGTTCCATCTCTCAGGTTCTTAAGGCTGGCGTGTACTACCAGCAGTACGTCTGCGCTTGGATTCGAACCTAGACCACCGAGTGTTCCTAAATTTAGCATGTGAACACAGTTATCCGTTGTACTAACACGAGCTTTTTATCGCCGATACTATTATGCTTGTTTGAATCAGCCGTCTCCGGAAGTGTGCTGTTCTATATATGTGCTGAACGTAAACGGATATTCAATATTCTCAGTGTTATATTAATAATCAGTAAGGACGGACAAATGTTGGACAGAGAAATTAGCCCAAAGGCGCGACTAGTTCTGCCGGCTCGCATCTAAAAAATATTTTATAAGGAAGACCAATTAACTTAAATACACAAACCGGATGATTATTACAGTTGTATTAGCCGTATGGAGAATTATTGCGGTTTTTCTCGACAAAAACTTCAGACGTTGTCGGATATACTCGTTTCTTTCTATAACAAAGTACCTGTCTTTCATATTATCGGTACTCTAGCTAGTAGGTATTACTGCAGCCGAATAGCTCCTGCTAGCACGAATCGAAATATATTTGCGCCCGGCTTCGTACCTAAGCTACATCAAATAATCAGGCAAACTCATTATCCACTGCGCTATCACGGGGGCACGTCTAATTATCTGTAGTTGCCAAAGCGTCGCCTTTACACACAATATAATCATTTCATATATATGTTATTGTCTTTGGATAAGTAAAACTAAAGCTTTATATTTACAGGCAGCAATTAGTTGCGCGGGGACGGAGTGGCGCCTTGTTTTACGATAGACAAATATGGCCGATTTTTTGACTGTTTTAAGCCTTGGCCTCATACTGGAAACGAGATAGATTTGACAGGTATACACAGAATTCTGCTTGTCTTTTTTTTCTGACGTTTATCGTACTAGCAAAATAAGATGCGCTTCAATCAATAATCCAACTGTCCTGTGATTGGGAAATTTGGTTTTATTATTTTATTTTGCCTGCATTGTAGCTGATACTTCGAGTAATTCCATACTACCATTATTGTGATTTTCACCATAAGAGCAGCAGCATGGAATTGCGGTACCCGAGTGTATTGAGCAACTGTTGAGACACAACTCACTATCCAGCCATGGTCTCAGATCAAAACCCTTTCGCACTTCCAACGCAAACTTCAAAAGTAAGCTTCCTTTAGTTTGATAACTTCTTTTATCGATTTGCTTAATAAAATTAGCTAGATATTATTAGAATTCGTCTGATGCTGACTCCCACGGGCCAAAATAAAACACGTTGCCCGCATAGGGTATGATCCCCAGATCTAATTAGGCCACAGCGATCATCATCGCAAAAAATCCACTCTTCTTCTCGTTTATTCGTTATATTGACGCCAACAGACTAAAAAGCGTTATTTTTTTGTTGTACTTCATTATTCCGCAACCCACTTAAATTCACACTGATTAGACGGCCTTCCCCATGTACCTCATAAACCCCTGTGTTCCGTCCTATAAGTCCTATCTGCTACAGCTCTCTTGAAATATGATTATTGTTACGGTAGAATATCCCTCAGCAGCGGTAACGCTTATGCCTCTTACCGATCTGCAACGGTATGATCGTCCCTCTGCAAGTGAGGCAGCCTTTTCCACTCTCGATTACGGGCTGTCTTGCCGTCATTCATTATGACGTTTGAAATGAATGAGTGCCTATGACGAGATGGCGACCTAACATGTCAAAGCTTAGCAGACCTATAAAGAACATGAATGAACCGAAAAATCCCATCTGAAGTGATTACGGAAGCTGGCAAGCTTTTGGCAGAAATAAAAAGCGTAGAGCGGCTAACAAAACTGTATAACAAGAATTATAGCGCGTTTATTATTTCCGATCAGTCTATGCGTTCCATATTAATCTATAAATAAAGCTACTGATTAATCGAAGATCCAACAGCCATCTCCACTGTAGGTGTTTGTTAACCAAAATGGCCTGACCTACGCTAAATGTTTCGAGACTTACGTCCCGTATCGCTGCCAAGCGTCGCGCCAAACTACTGACACGAAATATGTGTACGGCCAAATTCGAAATTAAATCACCATAGGGCCCAGTTTAACATATATATTAAATTGTTGCGTCGCAACAGGTTTACAATGTATATACGCCTGATATATTCATTGAATCACAGATCAGGCCGAAAAGATTGTTCTTTTTTTTTTCAAAAAAAGACCCATTAACTAAGCTGTTTTCTCTTAA